CCTCTCTGCCTCTTCCCTCCCCCAATCTCCTTTTCAATTCTCTCCTTAAACTTAGCAAGTTTGCTTTTATTCAGTAAAGAGGGATAATTAATTGGTTTATCCCAGCTGGCAGGAATCCCTCCATGTTTTATTTCTGCTGCAACAATAATAAAGGAAAAGAGAAGAGGGTAAACTTTGACTTTGGACTGGAGGACACTTAGCTGAAGGCTACGTTCTGTCTAATAAATCTGCTCAGCATCTTTACACATTAAAGTGTAGGAACCGTTCGCATTGATTTTGCTCTGGCATCTTTTTCCTCATTCCTTCCTCTTATCTCTTCCCTTCTTTCTTTTCTCGCCCCTACCATCCTGATCAAAGATAAGTAAGCTGCAGAGACCAAACTGACTTTTTATCAAGAAAGAATGTACTAATGAGACTAAGGTTTTGAGAACATCTTGTAAAATCCAGTCACATTCACGGAGAGAACATGTAGGGCCTGGTCTTCCAGCTTGCTTGTTTTCCTCTTTCATTTATTAAGTTAGGATTCCGTGTGTGCACAGTACCTGGGTCCATGTCAGTTATGTGGATTCTAAGCAGCTTTGTAAATTTCAAGCCTGCATTATGCACGCTTTAATGAAGAGTGAACTGTGAGTCCCGGGGAAGCCGCTGGTTCAGTTGCGCCACCCGTCCAGATGTGCAGTTGGCTCTACCTCTTGTCATGTAGGATGCTGGCGGGGGCCTTTCCAACAGCATCTTGTTAAAGAATCAAAATCTATGGTGAGGTGTACGTTTAAAAAGAGTCGAGTTAGGACCGTGGTTAATTGTGCAAACTAGCTTAAAGTAGAAACTAAATCGGGAGTCTTGCTGACAGTGTGAGCCCCGAGCGTCTCTGATCGGCTGCTGCCTCCGAAACTGCCTGTGCGCGCCACGCTTCCACCTTCTGTTGCTTGTCGAAGTGCCAACTTCTCTCCCAAAGGTGTTCACTGACTAATGCCTTGGTTCTGAGCCAGAATATTTTATAAACATCTATTTCTAAGCAGCTCTTGTACAAGTCTTAATTAAACTTTAATGTCAAGCTGAAGTTTACTTTTAGAGAACCCTGAAAGTCCCTTTGGTGGTAATGTGATGAAGGAACCGTAGGGGGAAGAAGGCAGCGTGGCTCTCTCCTCGCCATTTGACATGCACTGCCAAGGAGAAGCGTGCTAGCTAAGCCCAAAGGCTCACAACCTGGGCAAACGGCGCCACCTCCTAAGTACAGGGATAGCCCGTGAGCTCTCAGTCAAACAACTCCGGGATGAAATGAGAGCCAGGGCCTAGGAAGACTACTCTGTTGTTGTTTCCACGTTCTTTGTGCAGTTTCTCAAATCTAAGGCTCAGGAAGAAGAAGTGGTTCACAATGGAGCGTCCTTTATTGTTTTCTCTTCTACTGGGTGCTGCAGGGGAGGTTAAAAGCTTGGGGCTGGATTACTTTCTCTACTTCTACATGATTTCTGAGGGGAAAGCCTATAGCCTGTGCCAGCTAAACTAAAGGAAGGCTCTGTTGAGCTAAGAATGGACCAAGGCATGTTGACGCATACCTGCAGTTGGCAGTTCAAGGCCAGCCAGGCCTACGTAGTGCATGACTCTCATGACTCTATTCTACAAACAACATCCAACACAAAACAGAAAACACCAACAAAATAATGGATTTTAGTTTAGTCTAGTCATATCACATTGCTTGTTTGATTTGAAATTATTTTTATTGGTCAGATAAGTTCTATTGCAGCGACTAGCCCAATCTTTTCTATCAAGAGAAAATAATATTTTAAATTTCTTGGGACAGCACACTCAGTCTCCGTTGCTCCTCTGTGTTATCATTGTGCAATAGTGACTCTGGCTGGAGTGGAGAAAACTTTATGAAAATAAAGGAATGACTTCAACCTTTAGGCAGGAGTTTCCAGATGCCTGCTCTATTGACCTGCTTACTTTCAATGTGGCAATCATTTGGCTTTATTTTTCTAGGTAAAAATAGTTTCTTATAATATATCTTGTTTATTTGAATTTATTTTGTTCATATAACTTATTTTAGTTCCCCAAACCAAGGTTCAAAGAATTTTTTTTAAGGAATTAATGTTATATTTTAAATAAAATTTCTCTCAGATAAACAGAAATCCAGGGAGGGGAGGGGAAGAGAGGAGGGCGGGAAAGAGATAATACTCAGCAAAACTTCACGTATGTATTCAGCATGAGACTATTATCATTTTACATGGGCGATTGCTGAACCCCTGAAGATCCCTGAATGAGAAAGTCAGGGAAATGGCTCCAACGGTGGAGCACAGACATTTGCAAACACTGATTGAAGTTAATTTTATTTATGACATTTTTAATAAAAAGAAACTCCATTCAAAATCAAAGTTACAGAGAAGGATTACACACTCTCTAATCCCATTTATATGAAATATAGAACCGAGAAAATCTAGAGTATTAGATTTTAACAGTGAGTGACCTGGGCAGTAGCTGGGGGAGAGCTCCCCCCGCCCCCCGTGTGTTTTCCGTGTGGAGAGTGTCTTTTCTTGGTTTGGGTTCCAGCTTCACACATGTATTCATTTTTATCACTATTATCTTAGGATGTTTGCTTCCCTCTACGCAAACAGCTTTGATATGAGAAAGTGTCAGAATCAAAGGCACAGAATCTTTACATAGTGAGTGTCCCTGTTTCTTAGAGATTTACTCTTGGGGTTTTAAGTGTAGGGAAAGGGTTCAAAGCTACAACATTGCTTATTTGCTCTGAGGTTCAGACGACTTCGTAAGTTTGGAAGGTAATTTTCCCTTTCCGGTGTTGATTTTGCCTTGGTTATATTGTGTCACTAGTCTGGCCATGTCAGGAGGTACATCTCTGCTAACATATTCAGATGTGGGTGAGGGCGGAGATCACGGGACTTCATAGTACTGGACATTAAGTTTCTTAGTGAGACATTTGAAATATCTGTATCACTTTAGAACAGACAAGCATTTCATCTAGCTACAATTTCACAGAATATAGACTGAAGGTTTCATAAACCTTTAAAAGCAAATAACATGTCCACTACATTTTGCGGCTTTTTTATTTGTCTTTTGAATGTAACTCAGCCCTTTCATCTGGTACTCATTTTTCAAAACAGTAACTATATTTCTAGGCTCGTAGAAAACTCAGGTAGCCACAATCCAGCTTCTAGCTTCCATGACAATGTAGACTAGCGGTGAGAGAAACTGACTTGGCATCGTACAATAGGCTTCTCCAAGATTCCTGGATGTTACTGCTGCTTAAATTGACCACCCGGAGCAAGCTCAAGCTAAGCCGCTACATCACAGGGAGAACGCACTCAAAGTGGCAGGAGCTTAGAAAGCATCTTGTGTTCAGGTTGCTGTCTGTACGCAGATGCAGCTAAAACAAAGGAATGCCCTGTATGCTGGAATGTGAGGCAAAAGCCAGTTCTTGAGGGCCCCAGGGTCATACTGAGAGGTGGGGCTGCTTCTCTCTCTCAGAGTCACTGGCAGCACTTGGCTGCTCCAGGCAATGTCCAGTTGGCACTGTTGGCATGGTGGCAGAGGAGAGAATGAGTGTGAAACTGAAATTAGAGGTGACCATATCGACTCCAAAATGGTCAACCTTTTATTTTTAAAAAGGTCATGAAGGGTAGCAAACCTGAATAGCCACATAAATAGAAAAGCAAAGAACAGCAATGCTTTTCCTGCCCTTGGCAAAAGCGTAGGTCCTTACCTCCTCTCTAGGAGCTGGTCATTCGTATTTCTAATAGTTATTCACAATTATTCGGAAATATGTCCTTTATCTTTTCCGAGAGAGACGTAGAAATATACTTTAACACTGTGTTTGTGAGAAAGCAGCATTGTGGCTGACTTACTGCCTAGGTCCTGCAGTTTTACAAGGAGATTCATTCATCTCCAAGAATTACTTCACATCAGAGCTCTTAAATGTGTTCTTCGTATCCTTTTATGCCTTTCGGTTAGACTGCCTCCACCTGGTTGTTTTGGCATACATCCTTCTCCAGTTTGAATTAATTAACCCAAGTTTTCTAATTTTGGAATTGCTTGATGGCTATGGGAAAATTTAGATTTAGAAAATAATAACACATTGTAACTGGAAGTTGTGAGGATTTTATTTTTATTTTTATTTATTTATTTTAATTTTCACTCCTGGAAAAGGTGGACATTGTGCTCTGAAGAAATGAGGAATCAGCTCAAGGGTTTAGAACATTCTAGCTCTGTAGCTTTGAATATCTTTATTCTGCTCGAAGTTCAGCACACTGGACACATTTTAAGAATTTCATGGGATGCACTTGATCCAAATATTCACCAATAGTCATTTTATTGCTATTATATTGTCATTATAGATTGCCAGGGCCTAGCAGAGCTTCAGTCAGGCTGGTGACCTTCCTGACGGCTGTACCCACAGGTCTAGATCTCTAATGACCTGCGTTTTACAGTTCACAGGACAGTGACTCACTTCCTACATTTAGCTTCATCAGAGGCAACCAATCAACTGCTTCAGAAATGCAATCTCCTTCAGTGGATCTCTGCACCACAAACCTGCTGGCCAGAGCAGTTCTATGCTGTCCTTCCGCCAAAATCCCCTTATGTCTTCTCATCCATTCTCTTCCTCAGTTTCCCCCTCTTCTAGTGTTTGGCTTGGGTAGAACGTAGTTCAATCAATGTCTTTTCAAAGATTAAATGAAAACTTTATAAAATATTGAGGAAAATGTAAGTTAAACAAAAAGGGCATTAAAGCAATTTAATTATATTGCTAATTAAATTATAATAGAAATTACAATTTAATTATAATAACTAATGAAAATCAAACAAATAATAATATCAAACTTTTCTTTGGGAGCAGCTGATTGAACATATCTGAAATGAGAAAAGGAAGTTTTAAATCTGCTTGTATGAGATCATCCGTGGTTGTTTTTCTAAGTTAATAGTTTATATTCATAAATATTTTATATATGGAGGAAGAATTTTTTTTACTTAAATTACTTAATTTCTAGGCCATATGAAAATAAAACCTATCTTGCTGTTGGGAGCATGAAGACCATAATGCTAAATGTGTCCGTGTTCAATGCTGGCGATGATGCTTATGAAACAACCCTGAATATCCAACTTCCCATAGGCCTTTACTTCATTAAGATCTTAGACCTGGTAAGTGCTAGAAACCACAACAGTAGACTGTAATACTAGAGCTCAAAACAGATTTAAGGATAGTTACTCCACTGATTTAGTATAAACAACTGAAGCTTTCATCTTATCGTTTCGACATCTCTGAGCCTCCCGGTTATTTTGAGATGTTCTTTGTGCCCTGGCTCTGAGATACAGGTTCACTGGAGAGAAGTCCTTGAGTGCCACTACTTCATCCCGGCCACATTTTTAAGATGCTAATGATGCTCATCTTGGAGCATCCTCCATGCTAAGGAACCCGGAAGTCCTGCTCTATGTTCTAAGTTGAGGGTCTCAGCCTTCACCGAGTTCTTCGGAACTGTCAGCCTTTCTCAGTCCTGAAATCCCGTTTTTAAGTCGAGTGCTGAAGTACGCACAGATCTTATGTTACCAAAGCACTGAGATTATTGCCACTGTATCCACCAATAAAGTACTGGTAGGCTGAGCTGCAAAGAGAAGTCTCTAGCACATTTGCCTCGAGATCTCGCTGCCAGTCAACCCAGAGAGCTTTCACCTTTTAAAAGTCGCTCTTTACCCCTCTCTCTAGACCACCAAACAGCTACCTCACAGGGAGGAGGAAAAATTCTAGGTACTCAGAGCCGACTCTTTGATATAGTTCTATTATGATTACCATACTACAATTAAACACTTTAAACAAATTTCATACATATCAGACAGAAGGGAATGTGGACCTTATGACTTCCTTGTCCCCTAATGTTTCAAAGAAGTTCCTCTTAGAGAAAGTGGGAAACATGAGAGCTCACACCCAGGGGCTGTTTATGGGGAACTCACATGGAAATAAGTATATGCATATTGCTTATATATACACATCTGTATTATCCATTATAATTCTACATATTATTTTACAAGCTAAGTAGAAAATTGTCTCCTAAAAAGTATTTTTAAAAAACACCCCTAAACATGTTATAAATGTCTAATTCTCTTTGTCCCCTGACTGTTTTATTTTTATTTTTTCCTTTAGGAAGAGAAACAGATAAACTGTGAAGTGACGGAGAGCTCCGGCCTGGTGAAACTCGCCTGCAGCCTTGGCTACATATATGTGGATCGTCTCTCAAGGGTAAGCATTTAGTGTTCATGATTGTCATTTGTTAATAGAAATGTGGTTTTCTGCCTTCTACGGCATTAACAATGTATTTGTGAACGAGCATAGTTGTGAAGCTAAGTGCGACCAGAGTGTCCTGAAGTCTGTGAGCCTTGTGTTTACATTCTTAGCAATGTTCATTGTTTTGGGGGTGAGGTGGGGGTGAGCAGGGAACCTGCTTATGTCAAGACAGGCAAGAAAATGTGTCAATCAGAATGCATTTTGCCTGTTCACTCTTTTCCAACACCCCCACCCCCACCCCAGGTGGCCTGTCTGCCAGGCATGTTACCTCTGCTATACAAAAAAGGTGTTTTTGGCAAGAGTCCTCAGCCAAGTTGTTAAAGCTTCCTTAATGGTGTCCGTCTGGGCCCGCCAGTCTTTACATTTAGAGCAGGCTTTGTTCCTGGAAGTGAGGCATGGAAACGCTGCTGCTTCCAACCCAACCGCTTCTGGGTCTTGCTACCGAGGGAAGGGTAAAGCTTCTGCCACATCTAGAATCTTCCACTCTGTTTTCTATGAGAAACAACAAAATCTATTAAGGGAAATGAAAAAATGCTCAATCTGTAAAAGTGTATGTTAGCATAAAAACAGGGTCTTTCCCTCTGCTTTCCAGACAGATATTAGCTTCCTCCTGGACGTGAGCTCACTCAGCAGGGCAGATGAGGATCTCAGCATCACCGTGCACGCCTCCTGGTATGGTTCAGTGCGCAAGAAATAGCTGTCACACAACACAAGCCACATTCTGGAGATGGCTTTCAGGGATCCATGAAGCCGTGTTCCGTTGTCTATAAATGGCAGCAGTGTAAATAATGAGAGCAGTTTCTGCCAACCTTGTCCTAAAATGTCCTGTTGTCTTTTCTCGTTGGCTTCCTACTTTCCCCGATGCTACTAAACAGCCCTCTATTAAGTCTGTGCAGGATGCAGTCTGCACTCTCTGTGGCTGAGTTCTCATACCGTTTTCTGTTTCTACAGCGAAAATGAAGGAGAAGTGGACAGAATGGAGGACAACAAAGTGACATTAGCGATACCTCTAAGATACGAAGTTGCGCTGGCGGTTCACGGGTAAGCAGTACAGAGGCCTCTGGGTTAGAGAGGATTCCCACTGCTGTCTCTTTCTTTGTATTAATGAAAGGCGTGTGTTTGAACACATTTACGTGGGAAAGATACTGTGTCTCCATGATCGCCTCTGAGCGCAGTCGCTTGATTGGTGATTCATTATTTTAATCCACTCTGTAATCAGCTCTGATGCTACATCAAACTCATGGCCAGCTGCTAGAGATTTTGTACTGGAAGAGCCCCAATAAGCTCTCAGCGGGCCATGGTCATCCCGCAGTGTGCATCCAAGGGGCACAGAGTTCCGTAGGATGCAGCTGATGGCATGGTACCCAGTGGCCATAGTGTGGGGAGACACAAAGGACTGGGCACCTAGCCGAACTGCCATGCTCCAGAGACCACACCTACCCGTGTGGCAAATGACTAAGAAGTGACTGAGCCGGCTGGGAGGTGGCTCCTGACTTTTCTTGAACCCCGAGAGTGCTCCTCAGTCAGAATACTGGGGCCAACTTTAGTGTTTTCTGGTGGTTTTAGCGATTTCTGAGTGGATTCTTCTCTGGTTCAAAATGTATGGCTGCAGAATGAAAGAGGAGAGTCACAGAACCTTCAATGACTCCACTGACATGTTTTGGTTGTTTTTGAGACAGTTTCTCTCTGTGTGGTCTAGACTGGCCTGCGATTGGTGCAGATCAGGAGGATGTCCTTGAGGCTTTGGCAAGCATCCTGATCGTCACGTTTGGCTCTGTGTCCTGCATGTTAGCTCTATACCCATGAACCAGCACATCCAATAGCCACTATACTACGAGCATTTAACTTTTTATTTTATGCAATGTGTTTTGATCATATTCATCTATAAATTCCTCTCCCTATCTCCACCCAGATCCACTCTCCCTCCCTAAATGGCTCCAAATTCATGTTGTTGAAAAAAAAAAAAACTACAAACTCTAATTTACACTGCCTTTGTATTCCTGAGTATGGGGCCTTCCACTAAGTATGGACAACTACCCCAAACCACACACATAGAGAATATTGACTCCCTCTGCAGAAATCCTTAGCTGTCCCCAGCTTCTTAGTCAGGGCTGTGGACTCATGGGCCACTTCCTTCTTGGTTGTAGATGCATGCATACATTTTCAAAACAATAGAAGATATGAATTAACAGAATAAAATGGGCAAATTTTATTGATTGCTCTAATTACAAAACATCCCTCGGTATCATTTTAACCATGCATGAAGCAGGCGCCCAACCACATAAAATGTCACTTTCTGTAACTGATGGAATTGAGTATCAGTTCTATGAAGGAGGGAGAACGTGGTCCTTCCCGGAGAAGGCGGCTGTGAGAGTCAGCGGGGCAGCAAACGGAAGCTGATCCCTGTCTCCTAGCATTTAGCACCCACACTGCTTCTCACTTTTCCACATGACGAACACCTCCAGTTCCACCAGTCACACGCTGGTATTCGGGACAAAGACAACCAGTGTTAAACTGAACAACTGTGTGTTGTCCGATTGCTTCTAACACCTTTCCAGGAGGCAGGACTCCTAATTTCAAATATGTAGAATATGAGTGCCTTGCGGAGCAAGGAGTTCCCCAGAACAGCACTTTCTCGGTGCTGGTTACACTCAGCAGACATTTGGCTGATTGTGGATTAAACAAAATAAAGAACTTCTAACAAAATTTTTATTTTTTTTTCATGTAAGTTGGTGTTTGCCTTGTTATCAGAATTTTGAGGTTCAGCCAGCCGTCGAGAACTAATGAACAGGTTGGATGGCGTTACCACACCCGGGGAAAAGTTAAGGCTTCCGCTCAAGCTTCCCAGACTTGCACAGATCATTTTAGGGAGCAAGCCAGCAGGCGTGGCGAAGGCAAGGACATGTACTGGTTAGCACAGGCATGGCCCCTCGGGACAGCACGCGGCCTCCCGGTTTCATCAGTTCTTCGAGCTTTTATCTGACCAAGAACCCGAAAGGATTCTGTGTTGCTTTTAAATGTGCTATATTCTGCCTCTAAAGCCAGACTGTACGGCCCGTCGTCCAAAGGACAATACGTTCAAGCTGACCTTGTTCCCGGCAGGTTCGTGACCCCAACTTCATTTGTATACGGATCAAGTGAAGAAAATGAGCCAGAAACATGCATGACGGAGAAGCTGAACTTCACCTTTCATGTAGGCAAAGCTGGGTTTTGTTGACGTTTGTAACATATGGGAAGGAAGAAAGGGTTGGTCGTAAGCCTTTCTCCAGGGGGATTCCCGTCCCCTCTGCCCCTCAGCTTCAGAGATGGGCTGGCTGCAGGGCTGCTGTTCCGTGACTCCGCCCCTTCCTCTAAGGCAAATGTTGCTTTTCCCACTTTGCTTGGTCCAAATTTTCTAAGATATGTGAATTCCTGGAACAGGCAGAGGTTAGGATCTTTTGATCCTTCTGGAGTTACATTCAAGGCAGAAAAGCCAAGGGAAAGCATGGTTGTGAGTAAATCAGGAAATCTATAGTTGGTTCAGGCTCTTTAACCAGTGCAACATTACCAGGTAATGGGAGCATTTACTTTACCTTCTCTAGGATCAACGTGGTTGGCCTGCCGTCCAGGCTTCAGGATTAGGATAAGCTTCATCAGTATTGAATAATCTTTTTCTTTTCTTTTTTGTCAAAAAGAGGCTATCATATAGAAATATTAATATACTAATATGAAGCTCAGTTTTGAAAATTTAGCTGTTAAACAGAAAATTTGGCTGGTCACGGATGTTAAGAGGTAGTGCCTACAGAAATATTTGTCTTAATCAAAAGCACTGTCCGAGCACTGTCTGAACAGTATAGCAGTGTACAGAACGCAGGTCCTGGATTACATCGTCAAAGTGTCACTGCTTGCTTACCAGACATGACGGTAAAGTGACCAGCAGGCATAGATAGATCGGAGGGGCTATTTGAACTGATAAAAATGGAAAAATTATGACTATGGATATTCTGCCTGCTTTAGTGTGTATCTGCCAACCATACATCCTCCACTTTGGCTAGTAATTCTGCATTTATAATTTTGAAAAAGTCTTTTAAATTCTTTTCTTTTTTCAGGTTATAAACACCGGCATTAGCATGGCTCCAAATGTTAGTGTGGAAATAATGGTACCCAATTCTTTCCTCCCTCAAACGGATAAGTTGTTCAACGTTTTAGAAATCCAGGTAAAAAGATGTTCCCTTTGACTGACCTCTATTGTGTGTCTTAAATCCCAACCCTTTATCGTAAGGACTGTTGTGAAGATGGACACTCCTGTTCACTTCAGCCCTACTTGATGCTGTGAATTCTGTATGCACTCGCTGAGAGGACCTCGAATATAGTACATTTCTTCAGGACTGCAGCCCAGAGGTTGCACCTGCATTGTCATACACAGTCAGAAAACCTGGTTCTTCCATCTTGATAAACTGTTTTATATTACTCTTTAGACATGAGCCCATGGAGATAGAGTTAACAGAATGCTCCATGAAGCTTAAAGCCACCACTATAGCAAGAACAGGAAGGGAAGTCCTCTTTAAGGAAATATTTGAATCAGTTCTTAAGCCAATGTTTCTGTGTTAACTCATGAGATTTCCTCCAGGTATCAAGCAATAGCAATCCCCAGAAAAGCCTATGTAAGAGGGTTTGAAAAAAATTTTTTTTTAATTTACTTGAATTCCAGATTTAGATGCTGGGATGTATAATTATAGCATATTTTATTCTGTAAAACTAACTTAGGCTAATGGTCATCTGCCATTTTTCTTCCCCTTTTTAGTAAGGATAGACCATGCTGTCAGCTAGGCCCAACCGGCTATAATTTGTGTGGGGCTTGGTTTGTAGACTTGCCAAGAGATTCACTATTTTGTCAAATATACCTTCACAATTTTGGAGATGCTTAATGCACTTTAGTAAAAATAATCAATTGAAACTTTTAAAGTCAAGTTGTGTCAGCTCTCTCCAAAGAGACATACTTTTTTTGTTTGTTTTTTGTCTGTCTTTAGGCCACTACTGGGAAATGCCATTTTAAACATTATGGAAGAGAGTGTACATCAGGACAGGAAAAAGGCGTAGCGGAGACCTTGACAGACATAGTCAAATTCTTATCAAAGACTGACAAGAGACTCTTGGTAAGTTTCCATTTTTCAGATATGCGTATCTGTTTCCCAACAAAGAACTAAAACATTTAAAACCAAGTTCAGTGGGTGTTTGAGTGACCAGCGACGTGACAATGGATACCAGCTAAGGCGATATTCCCACTAGAGAGGAGCAGGCACGATGTAGCGCTGAGATGGACCCAGGGTTAAGTATGTGTGTAGGGTTTCATTACCCAACAACTGCTCCAGTGTGTCACCCAGACTTTACACCTGAACCTTTCTGACATCAAGCCACCTGGGCAGCCATATTAATAGCAAGAGATTCTCATTCCTTCCCATATTAGTGACTTTATAAGAAAAACCCGTGAAGCTTTGCAACAAAAACCAGAGCGTGTAACCTAGGGAGACTCTAATTGCGAACCTTTTCAGCCTGTCCCAGAAGGTTCAGTTACTAAGAATGGTAGAAACAGATGCTACACTTTGAATACTTTGTTTTAATTTATAAAACAGAAAACACTTGTTTTATTTAAAGCAAGATGGATTTTAAATGCTACGAAGGGGAGGTGATTCTATAAAAAGGACGGTTTTCTGAACGCCACTAAGGTTATTGAAAAATATTCTATCGTGTTCTCATGTTCAGTTGTGTTAGTGTCCATGAACGCATGTCATGTATGGGAGGCCAGAGGACAACTTTCAGAAGAAGGTTCTCTTCGACCGTCCTGTAGGTTCTAAAGATTGGTTGTTGTTTCTTATTCTTTTTTAAATTTTTAATTTATTTTTTAAAAACCATCTTTTCTCATTTTACATACCAATCTCAGTTCCCACTCTGCCCACCTTCCATCCACCCCACCCCTATCAACATCTCAGAGAGGATAAGGCTTCCCATTGGGAGTCAACAAAGTCTAGCCGATAACTTTGAGGAAGGACCAAGGCATTCCACCCTGTATCTAGGCTGAGCAAGGTATCCCTCCAAAGAGAATGGGCTCCAAAAAGCCAGTTCAAACACCAGGGATGAATCCTGGTCCCATTGCCAGCGTTTCCACAGACTGTCCAAGCCTCACAGCTGTTATCCACATCCAGAGGGTCTAGTTTGGTCCTGTGCAGGTTCCTTGCTATCAATCTAGAGTCAGTGAGCTCTCACTAGCTCAGGTCAGCTGTTTCTGTGGGCATCCCCATCATGGTCTTGACCCTTTTGCTCATATTATTGCTATTCCCTTTCTTCAACTAGTCTCTGGAAGCTTGGCCCAGTTCTTAGCTCTGGATCTCTGCATCTGCTTCCACCAGTTGCTGGAAGAAGGTTCTATGATGACAATTAGCACCCTCTCCACTATTGCTTAGGGTCTTAGCTGGGATCGTCCTTGTGGATTCCTGGAAATTTCCCTGGTGCCAGGTTTCACACCAGCCCCATAATGGTTTCCTCAATCAAGATCTCTCTTTTCTTGGTTTCCTCTCACTGTCCTTCCCCCATCTTGACCATCCCATTCCCTCATGTTTTCCCTCCTGCCTTCCCTTCTTTCCTCTTCCTCCCCTTCCCCCATGTTCCCAATTTTGTCAGGACATCTTGTCTATTTTTATCAGGGGGACCCTTGTATGTCTCTCTTAGGGTTCTCCTTGTAACCTAGCTTCTCTGGGGTTGTGGACGGTAGGCTGGTATCCTTTGCTGTATGTCTAATCTCTCTACTTATGAGTGAGTACACACCGTGTTTATCTTTCTGGGTCTGGGTTACCTCACTCTTTTCTAATTCCATCCATTAGCCTGCAAATTTCAAGATGCCATTTTTTTCCCCACTGAGTAGAACTCCATGGTATAAATGTACCAAATTTTATTTATCTATCCTTCAGTTGTGGAGCATCTAGATTGTTTCCAGGTTCTGGCTATAATACTGCTATGAATGTGGTTGAGCAAATGTCCTTGTGGTATGAGTGTGCCTTCTTTGGGTATATGCCCAAGAGTGAGTGGTATTGCTGGGTCTTGAGATAGATTCCCAATTTTTTGAGAGACTGCAATAATTTCCAAAGTGGCTGTACAAGTTTGCACTCCCACCAGCAATGGATGAGTGTTCCCTTTACTCTGCATCCTTTCCAGCATAAGCTGTCATTGGTGTTTTGATTTTTAGCCATTATGACTGGTGTAAGATGGAATCTTAGAATCATTTTGATTTGCATTTCTCTGATGGCTAATGATGTTGAACAATTCCTTAAGTGTCTTTCAGTCATTTGAGATTCTTCTGTTGAGAATTCTTTTTAGAACTTTACCTCATTTTTTAATGTCTAGTTTAAGATCTTTGTATATTTTGGATATCAGTTTTCTGTTTGATGTGGGGTTGGTGAAGATCTTTACCCATTCTGTAGATTGCCTTTTTATCTTGACTGTGTCCTTTGCCTTACAGAAGCTTCTATTTCAGGAAGTACCATTTATTAATTGTTGCTCTCAGTGTCTGTGCTAATGGTGTTATATTTAGGAAGAGGTCTCTTGTGCCCATGCATTCAAGGCTACTTCCTACTTTCTCTTCTATGAGGTTCAATGTTCTTGCATTTAGGTTGAGGTCTGTGGTTCATTTGAGCTTGAGTTTTATACATGGGAATAGATATAGATCTATTTGCATTCTTCTACATGTTGACATCCAGTTACGCTAGCACCATTTGCTGAACTTCTGAACACCTGATTTTTGACAAACAAAAATTATACAATGGTTCTGCAATTTTCAACCCAGGTTCTCAGGTTTCGCAGCAAGTACATTGACCTGCTACTGAGTTGCCTTGTGGCACACTAAGGAGATTTTTAACTTATGCGAAGTAGGTTTTCAATTTTAAAATTCATGCTTTAAATTTTTGGAGAATACAGGTGTGTTGTAGGGCATGCATGGTGTTCAGAAAGAAATCACATGGGGTTGGCTCTCGACTTCTACCTGTTTGAGACTATCTGCCCCTTGGAACTTCTCTCATCTCTACCTGCCATCTTGTGGTAGAGACACAAGTGGGATTAGAGGTCCATGCAGGCTCCCCCAGTTTTGCACAGGATTGGGGGATTCAAATTCGTATTAATCCTTCTGCTACACAGCAGGCATTCTATTTATTGAGCCACCTTCTCCAGCTGTTCATCTTTCAAATGCAGAAAATTTTAATGCAGCGCTTTTACATTCTTTTCAAGTATTGCATGAAAGTGGATCTACACTGTTTAGATTTCTTATGCAACTTCGGGAAAATGGAAAGTGGAAAGGAAGCCAGCGTTCACATCCAGCTGGAAGGTCGGCCATCCATCTTGGAAATGGTGAGTCTAAAATCAGACGGATAACGATGTGATGTAGAGCTACAAACTTGGTCATTTTTACATAGACGGGTTAATATGGAAACACTCAACAAACTCCAGAGAGAAGACTGCAGCTTGGGAAGAAAGCCCAAACCTCATTACATCAATGGACAGAGATAAACTGTGGATCACTAGGGTTGCTTTAGAAAGGATGCCTCTCTCTATGAATTAAGTGAACAGAAGAACTTGACTCCCTTTTGGTTCACATAACCTTAAATCGTCCTTTAGAAGATAATGTGAAAAAACTAAAACTAAGAAGCGAAATTAAAATTTTATTTCAAAGAAAATAAAACTGAAACATCAAAACGTAGCAGCTAAACCTGGGTGTAGTGGCTCAGGCCTGCAATCCCAGCACTTGTGAGGTGGAGGCAGGATTACAAGGTTGAGGTTATCATCAGATACATAATGAGTTCAAGGCCCTTTTACACCACATGAGACTCAGCCTCAAAAACAAGTATCAACTATAGCATTATTTGGTAACAAAGTATCGACTATAGCATAATTTGGTAACAAAATATCATTTTGAAAAATACCAAACTTTAAAACTTCAAGTTAAAAAGGAATTAAACACCTTTTGAACTTTTTTCTCTAGGAGAGTAGTGTTTTGTGAAGAGCTCTTAGATGACAGGAGAAAAGCTGAAGCGTTTTTTCTGTTTCCCCATCTGGCCAGTGTAGACCGAGTCAGTGGCCACTACAGCTAAGACTAGCCAATAGAGCTGCAGATTGAGACAAATTTTATTCCTATTCAGTAGCATGTTTTGAAATGACCACACAGTAGTCAAGGAGTATTCCATAAGACAGAGGAAGGAGAGACAGACACTCGTTCATTTTAACTTCAGATATGCCTTAAAGTCCCAGGACCAGCAGCGAGCCATTCAGCCTTGATAGCTGCTTCTCATTTGCCCAAGTTTCTCTTGGCACAGCTGACATGGTGGACAGAAAAGCCTTCCTCATCAGGCTTTCATACACACTGGGTGGCATTTAGTAGTGCCATACATACCAGGTAGTTCCCGCCGCTGCTCCCATCCCTACAGTCAAAGGTGTCTCTACACACTATATACTGCCTGTGGAGAATCAGTCCTCCCATTGAAAAAAATGCTCTAGGTCTAGGTGAGGTTTTGTATTTCTAGTTCTATAGATGTCATAAAACCTTTACCTAGTAGACATTGGCATTTGGGGGCGATAGACCTCCTTAAGAATACAGAGATTAGGACCAAGGTGTAGCTCAAATGAGGGAGTGCTCACCTAGCATGCACAAAGCTGTGGACTCAATCCGCAGCACTGGCAGAAACTGGGTGTGTGGTACTTCACACCGATAATGATAATTCCAGCGCTTAAGATCGGTAAGATTGGAAATTCAAGGTCATTGTAGCAAGCTGAAAGTCAACCTGGCTGCGTGAGATACTGTTTCAAAGAAAAAAGAATAAGCCTGGCAAAATGGCTCAGCGGTTGAAGCCTTCTGCCTTCTGCCAAGCATGCGGGCCTGAGTTTGATGACCAGGAACCACGCGGTAGGAAGAGCACCTCCACCGGGTCATCATTTACTGCCACATGTGCATCAGAGCAAATACATGGTATTACTTAGTTTTAAAATTATATCTCAATACTATACTTACTCCCATACATGTACAAAGAATATATATATATATGTATATATATATATGTGTGTGTATATATATATATATATAATACATTCATAAAACCTACAAAGTTCATTCACAGATCCCCAGGCTTTATGGATTCTTTTACAGACTCCCTACTTGAAGTAATACAGCTCAGAATTCAAGCACGGATGATCATGCACATGGGTTTTCTTATTAGAGTGGGATGTTGTCACCGAGACACTAAGTAGGACGCATGGACTTTATTCAGAAGCAAATGAAAGGCAAGCCTGAGCAGATGGTTACCAGATCAAGGAGGCTTGTGTGTGGGTAAAATTTAATATTACTGAGAAAATTATATTGATCACTAATAACTTATTGCACACTATAACCTGGGGAAAATACTTAGATCAAGTGATTTGCAACATAGCCACATTTAATAAAAGGGGATCCATGAAATAGTCATACCTTTGAGTCCAAAGAAAGCCATTATAGTTCAGTAAGTTACAGAAATTCTAAATAGCCAAGATGGCATTTATATTGACATGTCTACATGAAATAAAACTGAATTAAGCTCTGTTGATTATTTGTTTTCAAAACAGGATGAGACTTCATCGCTCAGGTTTGAAATCAGAGCAACAGCTTTTCCAGAGCCTCACCCAAAAGTTATTGACCTGACTAAGGATGAGAACGTTGCCCATGTAAGTTCACCCTTTTAGGTGCTGTGTGAGAACTGTATGGGAAATAGTCTGAGGGTATTCAGAAGTAGTGCTTTTGGGGGATCCAAGTAAGGAGTCAGTGTGCGACCAGGTCATAGAGGACTTTCAACACTTTACCGGCTTTCCACAACTGATGGGAAGAACACAGAGAGTGTTTTGGTGGCAGTGAGAAGTGGGAGGATGGGAGGAAGAGCCATAGAGTTGGTCTGCTCACCGCTTCCTATGGCTGAGACTAGGTTCAGGACAGGATGGGGAGTTCCAGTCTCTGTTGCTGTCTGGAGGTTTTTAAGGGAAACCTCAGCACTGTTCTGAGTATGTATTTGCTCTGTCGTACAGGTTCTCCTGGAAGGGCTCCATCATCAAAGACCCAAACGGCGTCTCACCATCGTGATTATTACCAGCAGCTTGCTGCTGGGACTTATTGTACTTTTATTAATTTCATGTGTTATGTGGAAGGTAATCCTTTAATAATTACTAATTTCTTGTGTTATATGGACAGTCCACCTTTAATGATTACCAATAATTAAATTACTCAGAATATCTGTATTGTCTCAAAGCCAATTAGGTAGAGTATATACTCTTCTTGTTTGTTTTTTTTTTAAATCTCTAGCCGAATGCTTAATACTGCTCTCAGATAGGAGTCCATTTAGAATGCATGTAATGTTGAAAACCAATATTGCTGTGGTATGTATATATGTCACTGATAAGCTCAGGGTTAACCCTGCACATCCTACGTTGATTGCCACCTTTACAACCGTCTTTGCAGCCTGTGGAACATGGGGCAAAGTTTTAAAAGTATTCTACACTGATTAGACGTTTGATGTGAATATTATGGGTTCTGAATTATACGCTTGTTATCTGATCTGTTTGCAGGCTGGGTTCTTTAAAAGACAGTACAAATCTATTCTACAAGAAGAAAACAGGAGAGACAGCTGGAGTTACGTCAACAGCAAGGGTGACGATGACTAGAGACTCTTCAATTGAGAGCAGTGAACAAAGACTCAGGTAGGTGAGAAAGACCCTGCTCTTGAGACCCATGGTAATTTCTCCTTTTCCACGTGATCTTGTAACATACTATGTCTTAATGCAGGGAAAAATCTCCAAGAAAGGAAATACACAGAGATTGCTTTCCAGCACTCAAAAGTAGAGAAAAACACTAAAGCTATTGACTTAAAGAAAAGTGAACTTCGAAGGGAACTTGAAAGAAACTTCAGACTTAGCCAAGCAGACTTTAAAAGGAACAGTTTTTCAAGGAGGCATGGACTACACGGGCTCACGACGGTGAGATCAATGCCACAGAAAGGGCACTTGTGGGTTTCAAATACACTTGAGACATTTTCAAAATATAATGATGACCTTTGAAGCCATTGAGAATCTTTCAAAGAACTGTTTCCAGAGTTTCTAATGGATAACAGTGGTCTAATGGATAAATCATTCTAAAACAGTGGAACTAAAACATTGGAAGATTGTCCTTTGGAGCACATCATCCCTGGGCTCTCTCCCTATGGTCCTTTTATTCGGCAGATATGAGTTTTAAATGCCTGATGAACAACATCTGTGCAGCACAGGATGGTTTCTGGACACGCGTGGATCCTGCAAAAGTGGCCAGTTGTGGACTCTTCTTTTTATATATATAAACTTTTCTGAGATACAATTACCATCCACCTGTTTTATCAACAGCATCCAGGAATAATTTTTTTCAATTCTCTATTTGTAAAACCTGTTCTTAAGGATTGTCTTCTCATTGCAGAGCCTAACATCACACTTTAGCTGTTATAATATGAACCATCACTCACTGGTGATTTCAAACTGCAAAGAAGGGCGAGGGAGCCGACATGTCAAAGCGTTCACTGTTTCAAATGAAGCAAACACGAATACCTGCCACGATGTTGTTGTTTTCCTCGTTCTGTTGAATCACGCAGTAACCAGGGCTGTAAAAAGCATTGCTATAGAGACGGAGAAGCACAGATGGAACAGCAAGTCACTGGTGATGCTTGTATGCAGGGACAGGATGTGATTGACGTTCCCGTGAGATACGTACGTTTGATGCTACACAAGGCTTTACTTTAAAGTGAACCGTCTTCTACCTGGGTTTTTACATAACCATTTTTGTACTATTCATTCCGTACACATGGTCTGATAAATATAAATTTCTCATCTGGATCTTTTATGCATAAGAAAGCTGCGGCCAGGCTTTGAACATGGGTCGGGTAAAAGTGGCAGCCTTCACTGTTAAGAAAGATTGCTTTACAGGAAATCCCTGCTGCCAGCCGGCCCTTCCTCGGGTTTCCTGATTCTTGACAGCTGCCTGTTCACGGGCCCGTGGTCTGCGGCTGGAAAACAAGGGTGTGCTGGGGTTTCGGAGCTACGAAACTTGAGTACAAAACATCAACTCCGGGTTCATATGCACGAGAAAACATATTTAAATGTATTTTTAAAGAATTTTTTTGTATAAAAGGTATATATTTATGGTTTTCTCATACAAATTCAAGTAGTTATCTCATGAAGGTGTCCGTATTAATCCATGAAAATCAGTATCAGTTTAGACCTATCTTTTTAAGGGACGGTCTCTGAGGAAACGTAAATTTGGATTATTACACTGACAACTGAGTGCTGTGACCGCCCCACCCCTGACTTTCAGGTCCAAAGGAACACAGCTACCTCCTGGGCCAAGTTTTTGATACTTGGCCAGTTAGAAAGATACTTTATGTATATGTTTAAATATTACTTATTGTAAACTTAGAAGTTTACCTGTATAATAAGCTTAAGAGTCTTGTTACTTCCAAAGACGCCATTATGTACTTGAGTTGGGGGGCAATAGCCTAAGTGGAAAAACTTTTTAATTAAGTGGTTGTTCATGGTTATATTACTAGCTCCCTGAGGAGTTGGAAATTTTATAAAATCTGTATTTTATCATGCTACAGGAAATCATTAAAAATTAATAATAAGAATTATCTTCAATAATTTTGATATAGCAGGATGTTTATTAGATCCAACAAATGCCTTCCAAATATCAGGATTTCATATTTTTTATCTTGATTTTCAAACACTTAGATACTATTTTTAATTGCATTAAAATAGATATTTTAGATAGACATTTTCATTCAAAAATTCATTTTCTATTTGTATATATATTGCATGCCAGATTCCTTCATAATACATTTCTACTGTACATATTTCTTCTATATGCAATTACACGCTACTTTGAAATCATTCATTTCTTCCAGGCTTCCTCCATAAAGCCTGATCAGTCCTGGGTGCAGTCTGTAAAACATATAAAATTGATTATTTTACCTGCCGCTGTTACTTTCCACACCTCCTGTGTGTGTTACACAGAGCACAGATGGACACCACAAAGGCGTGCATTCATAGCAGGACCATAGCCAGCTGAAGGACCACAACTCCATCATCTGCGACCATTCCAGAACCTTCCTGATCACCGTTCCTGCCTGGCTGATGTTCTCCAGTACTTCTGTGACAAGCCAGTTGTCTGAGAACACCCAATCTGAGGGTGCCCCCTACGCGTCAGCCTGCTAAAAGCTATAAAGCTTGATAGGAAAGAGCGTGGGTTCCTACCCAGCCCTCACTCTTGTCAATATGTACAATGAGGCTAAAGCTTTGCCAAGCTTGACAAAAGCCTCCATTACTTTATAAGCTGACTTGAATAAAAAAAAAAGGACTTGATTAAAAAGCAACGATCAACAGTATTATAGTATTACAGCCCACTTTGGAGAAGGGGGCTAGAAACTATGGAACTGCATTATTTTCAAAAGGCTTAAAGACTACCCTCCAAAATAAGCAATGCAAACTGTAAGCAAATTATTTGTATAGCTCATGCAAAATAACGATTTGCAATGCCGGTACAAAATATGCCTATTTGTATTTATCGAAGGGTATGGGGATGCATGTCTTTTTACAGTTTGCTAATTTACTAGTTTGTAATCTCCTATTTGGGCAGTTAGGAGGAAGAATCCCCACCTTCTGTTACTAGTGTTACATCTGCTGCTATGCCACCCAGAGACAGTGAAACAGTCGGGCTTACCTAATGTGGACCTCGGAGGCAGCTTCCATTAAGTCACCATCTACATTCCAAGGAAAAGTGTTTTCTGGAAGAGTTGCTTGGTCCCCACCCTCCTCCTGCTGACTGTATCCACTGCTATGACTCTTTGGGTGAATTTTCACTTCTTCAATGGTGTAAGTCTCCACAAAAGGAAAATTGAACTAAATAGAAGGAATCGAAATAATAGCGGTGCTTCGTCGTGCCCCCCATGACAAATAAGGTTCGCCATCATACTAACATTTTTATCATTTGGAAACTCTGACCAAATTACCCCAGGCTCTCGGGGGGGGGGTGAACCCTCTATTCCAGAAACTTTCCAGACTTGATAGGCACTGCTCTGTGACAGACCGTTCATACTTGTGAAAATTGTTGTGACTTCCAACAATATTGATGCTGTAATTTCGATTTAATGATAGGCTTTTCCGTTGATCCCATGGACTTCATTTTTACCTTGTTTACCTGATGTACTAAGTTTCACACTTGGAATTTAATTCAGAAGAACCTAAATCTAAACTTATAAAAAGTACATAAGAGAAAGGAAAAAGGCAATCAAATATGATTTCCCAGGTGTTCATCTGTCAAATTTAGCAAATGGACACAAAGCTAAGACAGTTGTGATTAACTGTTCTAGAATGCCACTGGGTAATGTTCAAGTTGTGTTTTTTGTTCATTGCTAAAGAAAGTTATCAGGGGTTGGGGAAACAGAATCCTCAGTTATGTCTGTACAAAACCTTCTTCTGAACAGGATGAGGTGTGAAGACAACAAGGGTAGGACATGAATATCTAGGTAGATAATAGAGGTGACTCGGTCCCTTCACAGTCAGCTCTTCGTAACTCATGGCAATGCATAGCCATCAAAATGAATGATTGCACAGCAGCTCCTTCAGGCATGAGGCAGGCATTGAAAGCTTTATCCCCAATGCAGGAGATCTAATAGAGTCATGGTGCAAGTAGTCTCACCAAGATCCAGGCTATAAGGGTTGCTTGGAGCTGAGGTGACCATGGATTTCTCTTGGTAACTTGGTTTATTGTACAGTTTAAGCTATGATATCTCCTGAATCTTCGCTCTTTGTGTGTAAACATGGGTTTGGGGAAAAATACTATTAATTTGTTTTAATCAACTTATAGAATGTTTTGCTTCATTGAGGTTTATATGCAGAAGGGGGAAAGGGTACTATGTTTAAGAGATAATTTCCAAGCCATTGTTCTAAAATCTAAAATCTGAGATGATTATTGGTTAGTAACTGTATCCCCAATAAAATTTATTTGGTTATCTTAATTACTTCAAAGAACGCATTTACAAAAAGATTTGGCATAAATTGTGTCCCCAGGTTAAGAATTAATATGCTGAAGTCCTAAATTGAGTGTCTTTCAGAACATAACAGTTTTTGAAGATAAGGTTTCTAAAGACACAATTACATTAAGCACAGATCTATGTGGCAGAGCCTAATCTGGCATGACTTGTGTCTTTGTGAGTGGTGGAAATTTGAATTAATTGAAAAAATACTAGGGATTCATATGTCCCAAGGGACAGCCACATGAAAATACAGTTAGAGTTCTCAAGTACTATGCTCCAAAGAGACAATGCCCTCGTGAAAAATTAAGCCCGCTAATAGTCTTAGCCCTGGAAGTGTGAGAAATAGTTTATCAAGGCTCATGTAATTCATGATGAGGAAATATAGGCTATCCTTTGATATGGGATTCCTCTCAGTATGCTGTGAATGTGTTATTACCATTTGTTAATAAAGAAGCTGATTTTGGCCTATAGCAGGGCAGAAACTGAATGCCAGGGGAAAGAAAGTGGAGTCAGAGAAATGCCATGTAGCTGCCAAAGGAGACAGATGTCAAAGCCTTACTGGTAGGCTACAGCCTCATGGTAAAATATAAAATTATAGAAATGGGTTCGTTTAAGACATAAGAGCTAGCTAGGAATGCATCTGAGCTGTAAAGAGTAAAAAATAATAAGCCACATAAAGATAGAAAATACAGAGAATCTGGATTTTGTATATTATTGTTTTTTTTCTTTGAATTTTTTGACTTCAGAGAGACATCTGATTCTGAGGGCTGCTAAGTTAAACCTACATATATATCCTAAAGGTATCTTAACTTCAAAAGTTGAGTCTTAGACTATATTACTTTAGAAAAGAGGTCCTGGTTTTGTTTCTTGGAGGATCAGAACCTGTGGATTTTTTCCATACTAATGTGTTTGGATATAGCAAGGCTCCTGAAAGGTCTTCATGAATCCTAAAAATACTTCACCCAAAAAACAGCAGAAATCAGTTTGGAGAAAACTACACCCAAATTCCCAAAATGATTGTTTATAAATGTTGGTTTAATTTAAAAAGGGATATAGAAATGAATGCTTTACATTGGTATGGATCTTGGTTTATTGATACAAATTGAAGCTCAATTTTGTTATATATATGTATATTTATATATATATAATATATTTCTACTCTTTTTAAATGTATGTTTATACAGCTCATTTAAAATTTAGTGTGTAATTAAAAAATATAGGTTAATAGTCATTTATAGTAGCCAAAGTTGTATTCATGTTAGCTAGGTTCTCTAGATATACAGAGATATATTTTAGTTAGATAGATAGTCTTCAACATTTCAAAAACCTACAGAATATGGCATTTAAAATGTTTTAAGAACTTAGACTTTTCAAGACAGTGAGACATGTCTGCTTCTGGCAACACCAGTCTACTTCAAGAGGATGATAGTCATCTAAGAGCCTCCTTATTGGAGTTTACTAGCCATTTGGGCAAGAAACTGCTCTTGTCTGAACTGCTTGATAGTATGCTGAACTGGACTTGCAGGGCCCACAGAAAAGTGACTGCTAAATTTTCCAAAAGACGGGATTGTCCTTGAGGGTTCCTGCTTCACAGAGGAAACTGCCAGACATTCTGCAGAACACAGAAGAAAGCAACTGATGGACTTTGCCAGTACATGGCAGAACAGATCCTCACTTTTCCTGCTTCACTGAACAGTGGGCCAGATACTATGGGCCTATAGGCAGAAGATGGATGTCCTAATGATACAGAAGAACTTTGGGGGACTGTCCAGGCAGTAAGATGTCTCTGTCAATTCTAGAACTTTGAAAGTTGCTTACCATGTACTTCCTGTTTACTTAGGTAATAGTATATCCTTCTCAGGTCTTTTATGGAGTTGAAAACTAGATAGTTACAATTATGATAAAATATAAATTAGATATAAATATTGTAACTATAATTATTGCTTGATACCTGTTTTGTTATATGTAATTTTACTATGTTAAAATTAAAACCTTCCTTTTTATCAGACAGAAAGGGGGAGATGATGTGGGAATTCCCCTATGTATGCTGTGAGTATATTTTATTACCATTGGTTAATAAAGAAGCTATTTTGGCCTATGGCAGGGCAGAATAGAGCTGGGTGGATGAATTAAATTGAATACAGGGAGAAAGAGTGGGGTCAAGGAGATGCCTTGTAGCTTCTGAAGGAGAGAGACGTTAAAGCTTTACCAGTAGGCCACAGCCTCATGGTAAAATATAAAATAGAAATGGGTTCATTTAAAATGTATGAGCTAGCAAGAAATATGTCTGAGCTGTTGGCCAAGCAGTATTATAATTAACAGTTCTGTGTGATTATTTGGGCCTTGGCAGCCAGGAAGTAAAATTGTAGTCTCCTTTAACTGTCCCTGTTGAAGAGTTAAGCAGAGGAGAAAAATCAGCTATTTTAGGAAAACTTCTTAAGGAGGAATTATGAAAGACAAGACAAAGACGCAGAAGATATACAAGAGGCCATTCTAAGTGAAAAGGAGTAAGGTTTCAATTAAGAAGACAAATATAAAACTGAGAACCAACAGAAGCAGTCAGGGTAAAGTTGTGAGATCGGGAGGGGTTTTCAGAGAGCTGCAGTGTGAGGAGAGAGTACAGAAGGGGAAGAATCAAGGTCTGCTGTGGTCTGTGGGCCTGGGAGGCAGGGAGGGGGCCTTATACACCTTACAACCCGGGAGAAGCACAGTGGCCCTGCAGATCGGAAGACAGGCTCAGACCCTTGAGGACTGAGCCCTTAGAGAGCATGCAATTGACATAAAGGGAACAAAGAGATCACCCAGGAGATGGGGTCCTCAGAAGTAAAGTTCATTTAGAAGTTCTAAAATCATTTGCCAATGGAGGCTACGAAAACCAAGAAATGTGGGGCAAGGGAAGAGCCAAGAAGAGAGTGCAGTTGAAGGGACCCTGAAGGTTAGTTTTACCCTCCATTTTCCTGAGTTGGGAGTTACTATAAAAGCTGTGAGGTGACCTTCAGTCTGTTCTACAGTTGTTCACAAACATTGACATTCCTACCATGAAAACGTGGCTCAGAGGATGCAATGCTGAGACAGTGTAGAATTTTTCTCCTTCCCACACACCAGCCTGCTGCTGATTCATCCCACAGCAAAGAGACCTACTGTAACTAACACATATGCTGTCTTTCTTACACGGAAAAGTCTTTAAAGAATGCATTACATGCTATTCATATTTCTACATTTGTTTATAATTTATAGACATCCCTATGTGAATTAAATATGATTTTAAATACTATGTGAATGTAATTATTTATTGTAGTGTGTTATTGAGCTGGGGGGGCTGGAGAAGAGGGCTCAGTTAAGAGAGCTTGCTGCTCTTCCAGAGGACCCAGGTTTGGTTCCCAGTACAAATGGCAGACAGCTCAACCATCTGTGACTGCCGCTCAGGAAAATTCAACACCCTCTTGTTGTGTCCACAGGCAGATACAGACACTGAGTCTCTCTCTCTCTCTCTGTGTGTGTGTGTGAGTGAAAGAGAGAGAAACCATCAGCCTCTTATGGTTAGCTAGATTTACTGCCTCCTTCTGCCATTGGTCCCCTCCTAACTATATCCAAGCACCATTTACATCCTTAAGAATGTATCAAACTACTGGGTTTTATAACCACCCCTATGTACTTCAAGACTAACAGGCGGGGCATAGTGTGAGTCCGAGAATGTAGCTCATCATAGGTACTGTTTCTCTTTTAGTCTAACCATGTAAGTGGAAATCTCTCTTCACGCGTTTTGAATAACATCTATAAAATGGGTAAGCACGTATCTGCAAACCTATTGTAAGCCATGAATATGAAGCCAGTTGTCAGCAAGCGCCCACAAAACCTACACATCCCAACTTTAGAATCTGGTGTTGTGAAACCAAAAAGCCAAAGCTCTCGGATTTTACTACTTTTCACCCTAAAGAACAGCTTGTGTGTGTGCAACTGTACCCCTCACTTTCTTTGCTTTTCAATGTAATACTAGAATTTTGGCTTTCCTTGGCACAAGGGAAAAGAAGTATAACCATATGTCAGAAGAAGCAAATGCATGTCAATGCTGGCGTACACATTTCAAGTTTTGAATGAAAGGCTGGGAAAAAAAGATTAATGTAGGCAGATGAAAATAGTTTGTGATGATATCTGAAGCGACTGCTCTCTGTGATTAGCTTTGCAAAGAAACAACAAAAGAGATGGCCATACCTGATTCTTTATGCTGGAGTACCTTTTCAGGTGCTTTACAAACTCTTGTCGAGTGGTGTTCCGTACCACTATGAGAGCCATGCTGCCATTGTTTAACCTGAAATTGAACACTTGCACTTGAGAACCAAGAAGTTTATCAGCGGGCGATATCTAAAACCACCCTGTATCATTTTGGCTAACAAATGTGCTCACTAGAGGATACTGACCAATATCAAAAAATCACCATGTTGAACTGTCCTAAAATTTTTAAACCACATTTTGCTGTGCTCTTGTTGAAGTGAGAGATCATTCCAAATTACTTTTATTAATCCCTGGGATTTCTTCTCAGCAAAACCTGCCTGCAGGGCTCTTTGAAAATCAAACCTTCACACACCTAGTCACATCCAGAAGTAATATTAAATCCACCATAACTATAATTATTTAAGAATTCTAAACAGGAAGCTTTGTGTGCTTTTTAAAAGGTGTATTGCAGCATGCTGTGCATTCACAAGTGATTTGAGATAACCTGTAGGTAGATGTTCTTCTAAAATCCAAACTGTGATTAAAACGTTTATTTATGGGCAAAAGGTCTATGTGACATAGAAAACAAAATAGACCACAGTGCCCTGGGTAGAGGAGATGGGGGAACAACAGCTACCGCATATGTTCAATTAGATGACGGAGCATTTTAATCTTGCCTATAATCTTCCACCCAATAAGAGAGACTAGAAATCCTATGGTGTGGTCTGGTGCCAACACAGTCACCCACGAATGCATTAGCTTTAGAAGGCATTTTGAAGATATACTTCAAATACTTGCAAACAGTTTCATGCTTGATTTCAGTGCAAACACAAATTTGTCCCAAGAATAACAATAACATTACAAAAAAACCATTAAGTATATGGAGGCTCAGATAGAGCTGTGAAGAACCTCAGAAGTCACTTCATTGTTTACTCATTCTATGTAAGGATGGACCATTCCCAATGGGAGGCACACAGTGGCAATCAAAAGAATTGCTAAAAGCAAAGCTTTTAACTGCTGGAGTTAAGTAGGGTCCAGTACTCCTACTATCCGCCTTGCTGTCTCTTTCCTCTGAAAACAGCAGCAAACGCTCATGGCATTGTCTTTCTAGGTCATTTTTCTTAGTTGTGTGATTTTTATAGAAAACCATCCTTTCTTATTGTTCTACCTGTTTGTGTTTGGAAGAGAACTACTTTTAGATTCAAAATGGACATTTGCTTAAAAAATGTGCAAAGCAAAGAATGCCTCTAATTCTGTGAGGATATCAAATGCCTCACTGCTTATGTCACTGAAATGTAGCCAAGAGACCCCTATGCACCCTGTTCACATGAAGCGAACCAAACTGCCTTTCTGACTGAGACAGCATCGACCTAAGCCAGCCCTACGCCAGAGGAGCGCATGTTCATAACGACTCGGCTGTCTCCAACTCTCATGCTAAGGATACGCCTGTATTAGAATTGGAGAGCAGAGACATTCACAAGAAACATCAGCATTTGTATCAGATCCTCAAGGAGTGAAGTGAAAGCAAACAAAGGAGGCACACACACAGTGATGTCACAGAGACCCGAGGAATGCTTTAGCTAGAGGGTGAGCAGAACGCCAGTGATGACAGGACAGTTTTTACACCTCAAAAACTGTTCACAATCTGTTCTGTGGGGAGATCCTTTAGGAAGATTAAATATCATACATAGATAAACTACCTTTTCATGTTATAGTTCTCATTCTTTTTAAAAAAAACTCAATACTTTATTAATTCTTTGAGGACTTCCTATAATGTACTTTGATTATTAACCCTGATTTCTTCCCCTAATTCCTCCCAGATCCACTTCTTACAGTCTCACAAAACTTCACATCATCCTTCATCTTCTAACAACAAACTGAGTCTAGTTTGTGTTGCCCAGCTCATGAGTGTGGGGCCATGACCATAGAGAAAACTGACGCTCCCTCCTCCCAGAAGCCATCAACAGTTCCTCCCCTCATCAGGAGCCCCTCCCTGCATGGGCTAATGACGACCGGCTAGATCTTATACAGATCTTATGCATCAGTGCTCCTGCCCAGAAGACACTTTCTCTACAGTCCCCCTCTGACCTCTGGCTCTCACAGTCTTTCCACCCCTGTTCTGTAATGGTCCTTGAGCTTTGGCAAGGGTCAGAAGGATGATATGGATGTCTCGTTTACAGCTGAGCACTCCATTCACTGACATTTATTCTCTGTGCTTTTATCAGAGACTATATGCTTAACACCTGTCTAGCTAGCATGACCAAAGTTAATAGTTCAAGCACTACCAGAGAGGTAATTAGTTATAAGATGTAAGCATTAATCGTCCTTGAAATACTTGCCTGGTGTTGGGGGCAAAGCCCCTGGGTGCCACTGAACACAGACAGGGGATTGCCATGATGCTGATATTCAAAAACTGCCCTTGGATGGTTTGCCATTCACCAGCACTTTCTAAAGAAATCGGAAGTGGCTAGTTACTTTCTCTCCCCAGTCACTAGGGCTTGGGTAGGGCTTCCAGCACATTCTTGCTGACTCACCAGACTCTGGAGATTGCTGTGCATTTCTATAAGTAACAAGAACAAAAACATGTCACACCTATGTAAAGCCAGCATCTACTAAACACGAGGAGACTAGAGAAAATGTATAATTTTGCACAAAACATTCCTTTGTAAACTATCACTAAATGTATTACAAGGAGCAATTTCCATTTCTTAACAGCTGGAACTCTTCCTCACTGCTGCTTTAACATTTAAATACCATGCTACTCCAAAAATTCTTATAGGGACCAAAACTGTGTGTTTGAGGCTCATGGTTGTACTCAAAGTATGGGTCATGGTTGGGCACTCAAGTGTCAGATGGGTAAGTCAGTGGATGACTGATTATCTGACTGTCAGTCTGGAGGAATGGTTACTTCTGAAGACAGGAGGTAAACTCCATGTTTACTAGAAGATAGAGGAGTGTATGATTCTACACTCTTTATTAGTATTTGAGAAAAGAGCCCAAAAGCCCAAGTCTGATAAGCTACCTATGCCACTGTAGTTCATTCTTCGAAGAGAAATAAAGCGACTCAGGGGTTCAGAACACTGGCTGTTCATGCAGAAGGCACAGATTCTGTCCTGGCACCACATGGCCACTCACAATTATCTGTAACTCTGGTTTCAGGGGATCTGACACCCCCTTCTGGTCTCCATGGGTACCAGACATGTATATGGTGCATACAGGCATACAGGCACATGTAAGGCCCGGGCCTTCCCTTGCTCTCTGGGATGCAAATCAAGGACTGTTTTGGCAACCAGCTAAAGCTTCCTGCTAAGTTCCGTGCTTGCTCTGCTCTAGCCTGGTATAATAGCCTAGGGTTCTATATCACTTTAAAATGGTAATTTCTCAACCTGCCTGGGAGAGCCCAGGCGCCAAGGTACCTCTCTCACCTGTCTGACACTGCCCTACAACCCTCATCCACCTGCCTGCGGAGAAGCTCACTCGGTGCCAGCTTCCCCATCCACCTCTGGCTGGGAGGGGTTTCCGTTACTGGGACCAAAGGGTATTTTAACCCCGGATTAAGTTTGAATAAACGAGCATTCTCCTCTTGAGGATGACTCAAACTATCTGTGTGTGTGTGTGTGTGTGTGTGTGTGTGCGTCTTGTGTTTAACCCCTAGGACTTTATCCAGCTCGTGGAAGGTATGGAGTCGTGGTCCATACCAGGTGGGTGGTGATGCAGACCCCGTGGCGTGGAATGATTGCCAGAGGTACATACAGCCAAATCATGTGCACATATTTTACTAAAAATAGAGATGAGTAAAGATATTACACCGAGCTTTTATTTACCTTTCTTGTTCATCCTGAGGGCATCCAGCTGGTAAAAATGATACTTTGCAATCCTCTGGCCTAGATAATGAAATTCATGATTAATAGCTATAAACGTAGGGATATAGAATTTTTGTCATAAGGAAAGTACTTACTGAAGCTTGGCCAAGGTTTTGAGTACAGCAAACTCTCTCCGCTGACTAGGGGACATCCATCGGTATTTCTCTGCCAGAGCCAAAGTCCTTCCACCAAAGCCAAACATGGCTGAGAACCCAAAGCGAAGAAGCTTGCCAGCAGAGCTGAAGGTGCAGACGTCTACTGACTGTATGTGACCTTGAAAGGTGTATGCAGGCCACCAGGGAGTGGTTGAGACAGCAGATGTCAGAGAGAATGTTTATTTACTTAAGGAATTATGCCAGGTACCTTATTCATAGCTACTTATGCTTGCTCTCCTTCATCTACCTATCTCTACTATAACAACTGTGAATTCCACTTTCAACTTTTCCAGGTGATGAGAAAACAAACCCAAAGCAGTAAATCTCATCTATTTTCCCCAAAGTTAGAGGGTGAAGCAGACGCACCAGGAAGACAGAGTTAATATTAGCGTTGCATTGCATTTATCGGGATAACTTATGCCCTGCAGGTACGCCATGGTAGTTTTCCTGAGATAACATGCTCTTCGTCCTGAAGTCTTGGATCAGTCAAACAACAGTGCAGATTATATACGAAAACGGTGTGCGTGGACTTTCTCCATGGTGTTTTAAAACTGATTTTTTGAGCATTATTACAATATCTTTGCCATCGAGATAATAGTAATAAACTTCACTTATTGCTCTTTTCAAAGCATGTAGTTGAAATGAAAGGCAATTTAACTAGACGACTCCTCGCCTTTGAGATTTAGACAAACATTTCTATGCTCAGAGACAGAGAACTTACCATTCCTGGATAAGACTGACAGAGCACAGCTAACTTATAGGAATAAAAGCGTCCTTATTCCACCCGGCCCTCTCTAGAATTCTTACCCATTATAATGTGCATAGTTGCAGTCACCACGTGAGGAATTCCACAAAGAGAATGTGCCAATACATTCGTAGATCCTGCCAAAACAGTTTTAAAACACGTATCATCAGTAGAGTCTGTGTTTTAAATTAACGTGTGCTCTTATTACACATAGCCACAACCATGTACTAGTCAGATGAAAATTAATGGAACTTTATGACGGAAAGTTGATTAAAATAATTATAAATACAGCTTTCCATTCACAGCACAGATACATGTCAAATGTTTGCAGAACTATCAAATTTCTAAATGATTTAAAAGTTAGGAAAAACTCCTCCCCTTGCCCCTCTGACACCTGACCCAGTCCCTCACCAGCTGCACCACTCCCGAGAATGGGCCCCCTGCCTCGCATAGGCAGCACTGCAGAGTAAACAGGGGTCTGAGAGGGGCATAGCCGGTATTGCCTCCATCATGTGAAGGAGGGAAAGATGCCCTCCCCTCTTGCCCCTTCTGCCTTTAGCTGGCAAAGGAGATGACTCCTTTACTAGATGCTGTGCTCTGCCGTGCGCCGTTCCCCTGTGTCTGCGCTCTGTGCGCTAGAACCCAGTTCCCGAGCTTCGGGCATGCTTGCTAACTTCAGTCTCTGAGTTCTGATGAGCCTTGCTCAGTTGGTTTTGTGTGCCTTGTTCTCCTGGTTTCCTCCATCCTCTCTGGTTCTTATACTCTCTTTGTTTCATCTTCCATGGGGTTTCCTGAACTCTGAGGGGAGGAATTTGATGGAGATAATCCCATTTAGAGCTGTGTGTTCCAAGGTCTCTCTCTCTCTCTCTCTCTCAGCTTTTAGTCAATTTAAAAATAAGTGGAGAAAAGTCATTTAAATCAACTATGCTAGAAATAAACTAACTTTAAAAATGTGTTTCTCAGGCCCCACTTTAGATATGAGTCAGTCTGCAGTTTTTAAGATGCCCAGGTGAATTTTCTAGAGGTGTAGTCTATGAAGAAGCAGTAGCAACATCACCTGGTTCCTAGATTTCACCCCCTACCTGTGGTGTGAATTGACCAGATAAGTGTTTTAACAAATGCTCACCGTGATTTTTGCACTCTTGGTCTGCAAACAAGTAGTCTAGAAATGTTTACTCGGGAGATCTTTGGTAAGAACTTCCCATGAACTTTTGGAGCTTACTGCCTGGGTATTATTCACATGATTCATGATGAATCAATTATTCAGAAGGGGAAAAATTGTTGGTTTTTTGCTGCATCAGATTTACAGTAAAGGCTCTAGAGAGAAGACACAGTTAGACAGGGGTCTTTAGTATTAACGTTGGCACTATTGCGTGACATCCTTTCTGCCATTCCTGAGGTTGAAGAGGACTGTAACAGCTATCATCCAGGAAGGCCTTAAGATACTTAACGGAATTCTGCGGCACACAAGAGCTAAGGACGTGAATCACAGCTCCTGAAAGGGAAGACAGCTCCCTATGAGCTTGAGGCATGATGAATCCTCTGGCAGTATCCTTTTGAAGTGCTAGGAATCAGTTTGCTCCCTGACCTGTCGAGTGGTCCAACCATCCTCCAACGCGGTTGAGTTGTCATAGGAGGCAAGACCACATCACTCATCATCTACTCCTCAAGGCATTACCTTAATCTTTGAATGTGACTTTCTTTAGCATGCTGAAGAAAACACAGAAGTCCATGAGGAAGTGCACTTGACGCTAAAAAATTTACAGATAGAATTATTCCCCTCCAGGAAATTGTAGACTATTTGAAAAGATGTTGGCAGTAAAGAACACTGCACTGTTCACATAAATAGCAGACGGTAAACATTTTAATTAGCAGGAAACGTTATTTTTTCTGAACATTACCAGCAACTTTGCCCACCAGCCCCTCCCCCACACCTGCTGAAATGTGCTCAAAAAGATCTAGGGTGAGGTGGGGGGGAGCAGGTCTTGAAAGAGAAAGTGAAACCCTGACTGATAAAGTACTAGGCGGCACCCACAGAAAAAATAAATGAACGAATGAATAAATAAATAAATGAAAAAAATTGTCCTTGAAGTGAAAGCACTTCTGCAGAACAATTAACTTAATTAACCAGACAGCATGAATATTCATAAGGCTGTTAATGTCTCCTACGTCCAAGCAGATAAATGTGATGTAATGACTTCCTAGTCAAGCATATCTAAAAGTCTCATGAAAGCAGCACCTACACATCGGTTCTTTGCCTTAAATCTAGAAATTAACAGTCCCTCGGCAATATTTGATTCTCCCCAAATTAATTGGAAAGCTTGAAATTTATTTATGCAAACTCTATAGGAATCTATGATTCAGAGCCATCAGTGTGTGGATTAAGTCTTGTCTTACAACAACTGGATTGCTTCTTTATTTTTATGTCCTCTCCGGCTTCTCTCGCTGTCCCCCACCCCCTTCTAATCAGACTCTGTCTGGATAGTTCTTTGGCACCAGTCCCCATAGCAACAAACACAGTTCCTAATAGCCAGCAGTTCAAATACAGGCTTTCCCACATCGGATACATTTGAGTCTGCAGATAATTCAGCGGCTTAGTCTGTTGGCTCAGTGGAGTAATTTACTAAACACTCTCCCTCTGGGTGTCTCTCTCCAGGAGGCAAATGGCTTCAAAGGCAGACTGTCTCCTCATGGGCAGCTTGGAATCTTCCTGCCTAGCTCTTGTTCCCACTCTCCATCAAAAGCCCTGACTAGGCATAGCATCCTCGTATTAAATAACCCGTACATGACTCTCCCTTTCTATTATACAGAATTAGCAAGCCATAACTCCTAGTCAACTGCCAGAGTTCGGCAGCCTGCTGTATCTTCAAAACAAAAAGATCACAATGCCATTCCTGGGAAAAGCCACTGAAAAACAGGCTGTTTTCAAATCGTAAATAGGCTTTGAAATTAAGCAGGGAGAAATCCCCAATGCCTCAACATTATGCATTTGTAAAAATTGGTTACATAGGATAGACATAAAGATAATGACCAATTTTTATAACCAGCTCCCCTCCATGTCAAGTGCACACCTCTGAGAAGCTGCCCTTTGCATTCCTGAGCCGCCGTGGTTAGTGGACGGCCTGAGAGAGTCAAGTGCTAATGAGAAGAACAGCATCCTTGGCACACAGACTGCCAGAAGAGCCCACCAGCGCCAGGCAGAATGGCTAACACGACACTGAAGGGTCAAAGTAAGACGGCATGAAACAATGGCCCCAATCGCATCTCCCTCCCTTTCAACCAAGGCTGCTTTATTATCTTCTTTGAGACCATTATTCATTTTCTTAGTGCTCTAAACTGTCAGGATGTGTTGGAGCCTCTCTCCCTCTTTAAATTATGGACTTTGTGAAAAACTTTATACTATACAAAGGCATTTGGATCTGTTCTGGTTTTTTAAAATGATATTTCTATAGGTCTCTACTGAATAACATAGACTTGCAAAATCACAAATGTGCTTTACAATAATAAAACCCTAAAGCTAATTCCTTAGGGAACAACTGACATATTAAACACATAAGTAGAACTACAGTACTTCTAAATGTTTGGCATGGATATAGTTATTACATAGAAAGCTGAATTTTGTTTTAACCACACACACTTTTTGTTTTCATAAGAGGAAATGTATTTTACTGGTTTTGTCTATGATTTCTTTATTGGTTAGTTTTTTGTCAGCTTGACAGAAGCCAGAGTCATTTGGGCAGAGGGAACGTCAACTGAAAGTCTCCAGCCACAATGGGCTGTGACCATTTTCTTGATTGCTGATGAATGTGAGAGAGGCCAGCTCACCGTATGTAATGTCACCATTGGACAGGTGGGCTGGAGGCTATAACAAAGCAAGCCAGGCTGCAGCATTCCTCCATGGCCTCTGCTTCATTTGCTGCCTCCAGGCTCCTGCCTCAAGTTCCTGCCACGACTTCCTTTCATATCAGACTCCAAGCTATACGCTGAAATAGAGCATTTCCTCCTCAGCGAGCTTTTGGTCATGGTGTTTTATCACATCAATAGAAACTCTAGCCTTTAAAAATGAGAAAACTAGCAAATTCCCTCTATTATTGCTCAATGGAATGAGTGAATTATGTACATAGCAGCATATTCTTTTTTTGTTTTTTTCTTTATTAAAAATTTCCCCCTCTTCTCCACCTCCTTTTTCCCTCCTCCTCCCCCCTCCCTCTCCAGTCCTAAGAGCAGTCAAGGTTCCCTGCCCCGTGGGAAGTCCAAGCTCCTCCCCCTTCCATCCAGGTCTAGGAAGGTGAGCATCCAAACAAACCAGGCTCCCACAAAGCCAGTCCATGCACTGGGTTTTGATTCTACAGCATATTCTTTTCTTAACCATGCATTGTCTTGCCTTGTTTCCCTTGCTTCGACCTCTGCTTTCTCCACAAGAAATTCTGTACCCTGCATCCAAATTAATCCTTTTGAACTATGCTCCGCGGAATGGTTTCCCTGATATGAAGCATACCACAACTCTCTACTGCTTCTCAGGTCAAACTCAGACCCCTTTCTGCAGCATGTATGCAGAGTGTCCACCACCTGGCCTGCTAGCACACTATCATCTCCCATCAAAGGCTTCCTTTCTTTGCCTCAAGCATTCCCAGTGTTTGCCTTTGCTTTTGTTATGGTGGAGCCTATAGTTTAAGTGTTCTGTGTATTCACACAACTTAATAAACATTATTGCATACTCCCTGTGCTAAGGTACCAGGGATATGCCGGGGATAAGAGATGAGGGCTGCAACGAGTTTGCCCTCCAGGATCTGGGTTCTCTTTTCAGGCAGAAGCAAGTTTCCTATTGAAGTTAGAGTCATCCAAGTTCCACATTTATCCCACAGAACACTGTAAACGCTGTATGCAGAGTAGCCCTATTTTGAAACTTTTATCTGGTTCTGGGGAGTCATTAGGCTTTTTCTAAACAAAATAAAAATTTCACTGATAATTACTTAAGTGTCTATATATCCTTTGAACACCTCAGACTTCATAGTACAATAATCTTGTAATCAAGTGGATATTATGCATGATTCCCCAATAGAGATTAGAAAAAAAATGAGGCTCTAAAAGATTAAATGTCTAAATGTCTCACCCCAAGTTTTACATTTGCTTGTGGGAACGCTGGATGATTAGTGAGGCTGTTTCAAAAGCCTGCACATTTGAGTATCATTAGGAGATAGGAAAAGGAATTACAGAAGAGAATATTGTTCGGGTTTGTTTTTGTCAACATGACACAAGCTAGCATTGTCTTGGAAGAAGGATCCTCCACATCATATTAGCCTGTAGGCAAGTCTGTGGGACATGAGGTATTTTCATTAATGATATGGAGAGTCCACACAATTTGGTTGGAGCCAGTCCTAAAACGTTGGTGCCCAGTTGTAAAGGTAGCTGAAAGAGTCATGGAGAACAAGCTAGTAGACAGCATCCTTCCATGTCTCTGCTTCGGTCCTTGCCTTGGTTTCCCTAGTGATGGGCCATAGACTAGCTGTAAGATGAAATAAGCCCTTTTCTCCCCAGCTTGGTTTTAGTCATAGCAACAGAAAGCAAACCAGGGGGAGCAATTTAATGAATCCGTGGCTACTCCTTGCCTGCTGGTATTAGGCCAAGGGGAAGCTGAGCTCCCGTGGGAGTCAGGAGGCAGTCCATCTCCACCCCAGCATCCTTCTGAGCTCGGAGGAGCAGGGCATGGGCGGCTTCACTAGCAGATCCATCTCCACCAACACAGACAATCCTGGGAACACAGAAGCAAGCAGAAGAAAGCCGATTAGTTGATATTGATGAAATCTATAATTTAAAACATTTTCTAACCTTACTTACATAGTATATGGGACTGTGTAGTGGATAGGATCACTCAAAATAACCTCAAGCCTTTAGTAAGGGACAATGGCTCAGAAGACACAGCACTACACAGGCACAAATACTTTATAAACCAGACCCTCCATAGTTCTCCATAGACGAAACAGTTTGAGTTACAAGGTTTTAAACAGTGAACATTTCAACTCACATCTAATCAGCATTTGTTTGTTAACATCCAAAACCATGTCACCCCAAGTTTTTGAACTCTTATCTGTTGGGTTTCAAAATTTTCCATGAGATTTCTTCTCAGTGTCTTATGAACTTTGTTCATCCTTATCCACGAGTATGTACATGCTGCGTGTGATCTAAAAGGACCATATAAACTCTTCCTTTCAAAAGATATAATTTAGCTTGAAAGAGTTTGATTCTTAGATGCTTAGGATGGCAACCCAGGACCACAAGTAAGAGCATCATAGGTGTGTTAGGAGTCAGAGAAGATATTTCCATGAGTATTTCACTAGACAATAAATGAGTAAATAACCCATGACATGCTGTCATGATGCAGATGTTAGTGGACTGTTTTGAAATGAATCCAAACAATAACAGAGTAAATGAATTAAGCACCACTGTGAATATCAGATAACTGTCTATACATCCAGCACTGTTCTCAACACTCTCTGGGTGTTAACTTCTTTAAGTGATAGCTGCAGACACTAGATATTGAGAGCCTCAGTTCACAGATCAGAAAGCCAAGGTTTAGAGAGATTAAGTAGATTTCCCGTGGTCATCCACTTTAAGTATCCACACTATCATTCAACAGAACTTTCTAACATTTTCCTTTTTTATGTAAGAAATCCAGAGACTGTAACCTTATGAGAACTTTACTACTTTGAAAATCAATTTGAACCAGGAAAGTCAAGATGAAATTGAGTTAGAAAGAAATAAATATATAACTCAATAGAAATAAATAAAGTATCAGAAATTAACAGATTAAAAAAAGAATAAATATACTGACTCATGTCAACAACTACTAGATCTTGGTTAACGCTCACTGTCAACTTGACTGGGTTTCGGATCACCATGGATATATACTTCTGGTCAAGTATGTATTTCTAAAAAGGAGCAAAGATGGTGTGGGTAGCACCATCCGAAGGCTGTTGCCCCAGACTGAATACAAATGGAAGTGGGCTGAGCACCAGCATTCATCCTTCTCTGCTTGTAACTATGGAAACAATGTGAACCGCAGCCTCACACCCTTGCTGCCCTGCCTTCCCACCATGAAGATGCTACCACCTTCAAACTGTAAGCCCAATCAAACCCATCCTTTAAGCTGATTTCTTAAAATGCCCAGGTGTTTTGCCAAAGCAAAGAGGAGAGTCAGGCTAACCAGACTGCTCAGATTACATCTAGGTATATGACATAAACCCAACGCATGTGTTTAATATACAAGCACCATGGAACGGGATACTACAGGGAAAGAAAAACGTCATCCTTTTGCCATAATTTACTCTACTCTGAAGAGCTACTTGAGAGACTCCTTTGCATCTGGGAAGTCTTGCTGTTCTCAGGATGAGTAAACTTGTCGCTGGCCTCAGTAGAATGACTCTTTCTAAAAAAGTGGAATCAGGGTGTACATTTCTTTGTTTCTAAAAGAAGAATAACAAAGGATTTTGAGGGACTGCTTGCATATCTTCTATCACAACCAATATTATCTTTGAAATGTTGAATTTCAGATTGTTTTTTTGAGTCAGGGTTTGGCTTTAAAAATACTTACTAGTTATAAAAAATATTAAAGTCAACCTGAAAAAATGTCAGTGTTAGTCATGTAAAATCTACTTTTTGTTTATATATCTAATAGTATTATGAACAAAATAATGCTGCTATGTAACCCACAAAATTAAACACACACACACACACACACACACACACACACACACACACACAGAGGAAAATCAAGCATTGGTACACTAACAATAACATAAACAGTACAGGTTGGTTTAACAGTGTTCATCCTATAGTGAATGCAACTGCCCACGGCTTCAAGTCTCTTTTTTGCCCTTACATAACTTTTTTTAAATGAGATCCTGTAAATAGGGGCAACATAGAACCTAGCCTCCCCCAACTTTTAGCCATGGATTCCAGTGTTTGCTAGAACATGCTGCAGTGGGACACCAGCTGTCATTGAGTGTTGATATGCTGTTTCTCTTGGCTTTCGAAATATGTCACAATGTGTCTTCACAGAAGCATATGGAACGCGTTTTGAAAAACTCTAAAATCTTAGGAAATACTATTTCTTAAACATCATCTACCAAACTGTTTTACGTTGCTGACTAAGCTGTACTGAAGCTTTTTTTGGATTGCAGTTTCTCAACCTCCCGTCTAGAGGCCATGAATAACTTACTAACCACTTCCAATCAATAACTCCACCACTGCCAAACAGTGATGCCACAGACGAAGCTCCTGAAGGAAGTGATCCCTGGGTCACATACCATCTTTAAATTTTTTGTATAAACATTTTCAAAATTATTTCCATTTAATTGGATCCTTCGGAAGAGCAGCCAGTGCTCTTACCCTGAGTCATCTCTCAGTTCCCCTTTTATTATTCTCTCATTTATTACATCTGGACCTCAGTTTTCCCTCCCTCCTCTCCTCCAAGTCTGCTCCCTGTTTTCCTCTCCCCTAGATCCACCCTTCTTCCTTTCCCTTTAGAAAAGAGCAGGCCTCCCAGGGATATCATCCAAACACAACAGTAACAAAGTTTCTAGAAGACTAAGTACCTCCCCTCAAGTTAAGACAAGTACAAAACAGTACAAGGAAACCCGACAGGAGGAATACAAGTCCCAAAGCATGAAAAAGAGTCAGCAATAGCTCCTACTCCCAATATTAGGAATCTCACAAGAACACCAAGCTACACAACATAATTTAATGCAGAGGACATAGGTCAGAACCATACAAGTTCCCTGATTGTCGCTTCAGTCTCTGGAAGTCTCAGGTTTGTTAATCCTGTGGGTTGTTTTCTTGGGGTGCCCTTGACCCCTCTGGTTCCTACAATCCTTCCTCTCTCTTCTGCAGGATTCTCAGAGTTCTGCTGTGGGTCTCAAGATGGGCTGTGGAGGTAAAGGTAGCACAGAGCTTGTGGAAGTGGCCAACCAATGACTTTGTCCAAATTGACAGTCATGCCATGTTGGAGGAGGCTGCTTGTTCATTCCTGGCTGCTCAGCCCCAAAATAGTCACACTGAAACCATATTATTTGCAATACTGTTTGGCCAATAGCTTAAGTGTATTTCTGGCTAACTCTTATATCCTAAACTAGCCCATCTCTATTAAACTGTGTATCACCACAAGGTTGTGGCCTACGGGGTAAAGTTCTGGTGTCTGTGTCTGCTAGGATTACTTGGCTTCTCTCTGACTCTGCCTCTTTTCTCCTAGCATTCAGTTTAGTTTTCCCCACCTACCTAAATTCTGCCCTATCAACAGGCCAAGGCAGTTTCTTTATTCACCGATGGTATTCACAGCATACAGAGAGGAAGTCCCTGCCTGACACTGCCCTACAGGACCAGGAACCAGAGTCTGAATAGCCTGGAGACCTAGGATAGAGTCAAATACAACCAGAAAAATAAAAGTCATTGAAATGAGTCCTAATGATTCTCTGCCATACTTGTAGCCTGGAGCCTAGCATAACCATCATCAGAGAGGACTCATCCAGAACAGACGGGGGCAGAGGCAGATACCTATGGTCATTCTTCACACAGGTTCGATGAGGGACATTTCCTGTCTGAACAATTCTTGTTAGAGACTGGTATTTTGAAGTGTTTACTGAAATCATGTTTCCGCTGTTTTCACCACAGTCTGCATATCTCTGAGGGGAATTAGAATTACCTTTTAATTAAAGTGATTGCTGCAACCATACCAGCTCTTTTTTGGTAAGCTAAACCCATCAAAATAAATGAGCTATTTAAAATATTTGGAACAGAGGTGACTTCTAATAGAAATTTAAAATTATTATTATACACTCAATGTAAATCAGTATACCACAGGATTAGAACAAATTAAGGGACTTACTTAGTTCACCCAACAGGACAATTTGGTTTAAGCATGTGTAATAACTAAAAGCTCTATGAATCTTAATATCACACTGCAAAATAATTTCTACATAGCAAATAAAATTGATATGTTTGGATAGAGGGGAAGCTCTTTCTCTACATCTGAACAGTCGTTTTCCTACTCTACAGGCCCTCTACATCCCCACAATGGTGCAACTGCAGACACCACACTCGGCAGAACATCTCACGCCAGCAGTGAGTAAGTTCAGGTTTTATATCCACATCTGTTATCCTAACTTTTATACAGCCAATGTCCAAGGGCTTAGAGTAAGGCCATGGTTTTCTTACATCTGTGGCATGGGACTTTGGACCACATTAAGTTACTCATCATTTGGCATGAATTTGCCAATCATATTTTTATATGTACACTTCCAACATAATTTCTTCAAATGTAGCCTATTTATACTTCCTTTCACTTCTAGGTATGAAATTATAGTAATTACCCAACTTTTCCTCTTGTTCGTCCATGCTTGTTTGTGATAGCCATCTAGATCTGCTGCCCCATTTATATCCCCTCTGGTTTAATCATGTTTTACCTTCTAAATCTTTAGCCTTACTCGGCACTACTTTTTCACTGCAATTCAGGGCTACCTTTGATGGTCACAATATCGTACGTCATGTGTCTTAATATTTCTTTAGGAGCATTAAACCTTCCTTTTCATTTTGGGGAAAATGAAGATCGCATGCCTGTCAAGACTTCAATGGTTCACTGGTCTTTTCTTGCCTCCTCCCCATTACCGTGGGGCAATCATCCACATACCATCTTTCAAAGCTCTCCCACAGTAAGTCTTGCATAAACATCCTCCCCAAAGTAATATGTTTTTATCATATATGCTAATCCATTACATTTGCAAATCCATTCTGTATCTCATTGCCTTGTTCCTAATGTTCAAATGCTGGTGAGCAATTTCGTCACACTCCAGCAAAGCATTGTAGACAAATTTCTAATGTCAGTTGTGAATGTCTAAAACATCTACTTCCGCATGCTCAGGCTGACCACGCCCAGCTATGGGGCCCTCAGCCACCTGGCTGGTCTCTGGCACCATGAGCAGTGTCACAGAGCTGTGTTTACAGCTCAACACCAACCTGGTGCGAGCTGGTGGTGAACACGTCGCCCTTTCCGTGTCTACACTTCTTCATGCTCAGTTTCGCCTCCCACACAGCCCTGGGTAGTCAGCATCCAAAACAAAAATAGCAGTTACTTCGTAGAATGGATTCCCAATAGCATCAAAGTGAACTTGTGTGACATCCTGTCCTGGGGCCTAAAGATGGCCTCCACCTTCATTGGCAATAACACTGTGCATTCAGATGTGCTATTCAAGAGCATCCTAGGCAGGTCTTGACCATGTTCCACCACAAGGCCTTCATACACTGGTTCATAGACGAGGGCATGGGCTAGATGGAGTTCACGAAGGTTGCGAGTTCAAGCATCAGAAATACAAAGACGCCACAGTCAAAGACAGGGCAGAGTGTAAATGGAGGTTCCCGTCCCGCCTGCTGGTTCCTGAACAAACACTCAGAGGCTTCATATTAATTATAGTTGTTTTCACCAATGGCTCAGGCATATTACTGACTAGTGCTCTCAAACTAACACATTTTTATTAATCTATTGTCACGTGGCTATGGCTTACTGGTAATGTTCTGGTATCTTACTCCTTTGGCTGCTACATAGCATCTTTCAAACTCCACCATCTTTCTTTCTCTCTGTTTGGACTTTCTGCCCATCTTTATTTTGCCCCGCTATAGGCCACAACAGCTTCATTCATCAACCAATAAAAGCAACGCATATTTGCAGCGTACAGAAGCGTATCCCACATCAGAAGAGGATTTTGAAGATGATGAAGAAGAGATCAGCGAATAGGGGATCTTAAGATGCTATCAGCACACCTGTTCTTTACCTTTCCCTGGTATGGGAATGGTGCTCTGTTTTAAGCATGAGGTCCCTCTCAAATCAAACACAGTTTCCCAGGTTAACTGGTGCGGTGTTTTCCCTTTAGCAGAGACTTAACAGTTCCACCAGACCTGAAATTTTGTACAGAAACACTTGAAAGCAAAGCAGGGGGCTGCACAAGACTCACAAAAGCATCCACCTTCCAGTTAAATGCCTGGCCATCAGAGTTAGCAGGGGAGTTAGAATAACTTGCTTTAAATCCTTGGTGATAAAAACTAAAGCCACACAGTGTTGTCTTGATTGATATGCAATACAGAACTTTGTGACAAATCATTCATAATAAAATGTTAAACCTGAAAAACAAAATAAGGTAGACACCAAAGTCAATAAGTTATGAGTTAATTAAAACCAGCATTTTATTTATTTCTTTTATTCATTCAGAAAATAGATCTGTTGTTACAAAATATCTACTGCAATCAGTCACAGCAAAATTCACTATTGGGTAGCTACTGAGCTGCCGTAAATCTGCAAAAGAAGACCACAGCATTGATATGCTATGTGATAAGTAGAGCAGCTTTCATCAATGTTCTTCTTTATTTTGACACGGTAAAAGCCGAACAAAAGCCTTAAGTTAAAAAAACACTTAAGGATTTTAAGTGCAAATATATGCAGGTTGAGTATAGGGTAGTACACTGTGGTTTCTCAATATTTATAATTTCATTTCTCTTTCTAAATCTCTACGCAATGTCCTTAGAGATGGATGGCCATGATATATTAGCATTAATTATTAGCACATGGGTGTGAACAAACAGAGCTTGATTCACCATAATGCTTTAAAGTTATAAGATCTAAATATGTGACTAAATGCTATGAAAAATTTACTATCATAACTTTTATGTATGTGAAGATTAATAATGTAACCTACCCATCAAATCCCTGGAGTTCACATCTGTCAAGCAGGGACAGGGCATGCCCTTCATATTCTGTTACTATTAAAGAAAAATACAGAACAGAAAAATGAACATTTACATAACAATCTACATTTTTAAAGCTTGGTTTGACAAAATATTATGTTCCAAACATATGGTCAGGTAAGAAAACAGCATTTATTCTTGAATATTTGAATCATAGGAAAGAAGATTAAATGTTTGTTATCCGATATTTTATAGCTTTATGTAAAGAAGACCACGTAGTTGTTGTAACCATATAAGTCATTTAGGAATACCCAACACACAGTGTTTAGGGCATTTATCTTGGTGCCTGTCTGTTTAGTTTTCCCTAAATAAGACACATTTCCTTTCAATCCGAAGCTTGGGAACAGGAGTATTGTGAAAATACAGCATATTTGCTGGCATTGAACAGTCAATGTTAAATCACTTTGGCAACCTTACATGAATAAATTAGTTGAAAGGTTAGTGTAAGATTTACATACCAGAAGAACATGTATCTGGAGATGCTAGACTCAAGACAAAACAAGGAAGCTGGATGTGAAAACACAAAGTAATGCCAACCCGATGATAAGAAACTCAAACCCAGGGGAAGGCCAACATCCAGGACCAGAGCCCAGGTCCAAAGAGGGAACGCGTCTGCCACACTGCATCTCGGTTGCCACAGTCACCGGTATCCCATGCAGCGCTGAAAATGCCAGTGAAGGCAGGAGGAGTGGGCATGCTGCAGATGGAGCGAGCACCACCAGCGCAGTTAACATTTTCTGGGGCATCCCTGCCAGAAGAGGCAGCCCAGCTGTATCCACCCATCAAAGATTTCCGCTGCCTGACATGGCACTGCAGATGGATTTTGTTGTGTAAGAATGCGCATCATTATATGCGAGATTACATTAATCTTTCATGCCTGTCGATCCCTGGAGCCAGCGTGCTGCAAGCTTTCCCTGTGATGTTTTTGGATATTGTTAAAAATTATTAGTTGTGCTGTCTGAGGGAATCATTTTGTATCCAGCACTGTTACATTGCTATTCTCCCCAAACTTATTAACTAGAAAAAAACCCTGTTAAATTCCAATCAGATGAAAAATATAAGAAAATTCAAAAATTCAAAATACCAATAATTAATAAATTAATAAAATAATAAATTTGCAAGGATATAGCATCAAAAATATATGTGCTGATAATTCATTTATCATACAACCAAGAACAACTTTAAAGTACATTGTAATAAGTGTTCCTACACATGCACATGTTCAAGGTCATTAAGGTTTTATGAATAAAACACATGGGCTGTGAAGCAAGTTTTCATCTCTGGGTTTTATGCCAAAGTTTACTTTTAAAAACACTGCAAGTACATTATGTTTAAAGTTATGTTTTGACTAAAAGTTTTCTTTTACTTAGGTGAGAGTTAAAATATCCTGATTTTCCCTTTAACATCTCAAATGGCATTTGATTATACACTAATGGAACACATCTAAGAGCAGGAACCTTAAGGGATAGTGAATAAGTTAAGAAACAAATCAGTTTTTTTTTTGTCTGACACAAAAAGAGGAAACAGAGCTGACTAAGAAATGCTCTGATGTAAAATGTTTTAGGAGGTGAATAAGATGGACAGCCTCTGGGGAGACAGAATATGTTCTAGTGAAGGAGGAGCCTGTGATACGAAATAGCAAAGAGATCATAGAGGAATGAGAATGCCGGGGAAGGAGAAGTGGTGATTAGATGTTTATGTAAAGTAGAAAGAATCAAAATCCATAACCAGACAGGCTCTCACGGGCTCTAGAATCAGACAGTCACGGTCATCCCTCCAAAAAGGATAGGGATTCTAGGCAAATCTAATTTTTTTTACTGTGATACTGCCTTTCCATCTTCTTTCCCCTTTCCTGGGAAGCCAGCACTCTGTGCCGTCTCTGTATTATTTAGAATCTACACTTCACTGTTCCATACCACAACTCTCCTCCACTTCCCCAGAGTACTGTGCCTAGGGCAAATAGTGTACAGAATGAATTTGAAATAAAATCAGACACAATATGATTTAGACACAAAGAAACATGTCTTGGCCCGGTACTCAAATTTTATCATGGGATAGGATACTGAAATACCATTTTTCCTCCTCTCCTACTGGCATCCCAGAAAGCTCAAAGCACAACCAGACCAGGATGCCCAGTTTCCAGCTCCTTTCAGAACTTGTTCCCCTACCCTGCACACATACTTTGTGACTGAATTTCTTCAGATCTTTCATTTTCTGCTGGGTGAAATAAGGAAAAAGAAAGCTATAAGTAGAGGCACAGAGAGCAAATGAGAAAGAACACAAAGTCATAAGAACTGAAAGCCAAGAGCATGACCACATAACAAGAAAAAATGTGATTCCACAAGAGCTCCACTTTCTGAGCATTGCTGCCCATCACAGGAGGCAGAATTGTCTGGTGACTAGACATCCCCAGGGACCCTGACCTGGCAGTGATCATGGCTAAAGGCCAAGCACTTTCATCTTGATCAGCAAGCTATGTGGCCTTGGGCTGAATCAGCTGATACAGAAGATGTCATAGAGGAAGTACCTTTCTCACGTATAGATGCCTTTCTTCACCCCACTAGGTAAGAATAAGAAAGGCTGCAATTTTAATGGTCAACTGTTTTATGAAGATGGGACAAACCAGGTTCAAGACAAATTTGAAATTATGAAGGTATGGCCAAAATTACAAACCCCCAAGATACCATGATATTATGGTTCTCTTGACAATACTACCCCATCCTATCTCTGCCTCGTTATTTAAACATGCCTGCTACCCTACTGTCCCCTCCCCATTTCTACCTCCTTTGCCTCTTGGGAAGTAACTGGATCATGTGGTTTTCTTGAGTCCTTTCATCAAAATCAGTATCACCTCCAGACACCTTAGGTTTTTATGTGCATGTCAAAACCACAATATTCAGTTTTAAGTATCTGCTTGAATTCTCAATGGCCATGTATCCTGCAGACAGCAAGAATGCCAGAGAGATTATTTGCTCACTTCTCAGGATGACCTCAAAAGATTGAGCACAAATGGTCTACTTGCCTCCGTGTCCCAAATACAAGGCACAGTGCCTAGGTTCCTAGAGAGGTTCATCAACTGCTACATAGCAATGCCTGTGCAAATGCCTGAGCAGTGTTCACCTATGAAAAATCTAACAGAGGTTAATGAGCCTGGTGTTCATCTAGGTTCTATTTGTCTCATCTCAACATGGACCTCAGATCTTTCCAATCTTTGGAACTCTTCCATAGCCAAGAGGGTGGACCTGGGTTGTGTATTTCCCATGGGACCCTCACCTGCACACCGAGAGTTACAGCCTTTACAAGCTAACCTTTTCACTGCAACCTCATTGAACTCAGACATTTATTTGAATTGTTTTTTTATTTTATGGTAATATTGTTATTTATTTATTTTTAATAAGACATGGTTTTGCTATGTAGCTCAGGCTGACCTCAGACCCACAGTCTTCTTTCTCAGTCTCCCAAGTTCTAGGATTATAGACACGGGTCCACTTTGGTGGTCTCTTTAGTGCCAGTAACTTCTCTTTACCCTTCGTGATGGCAGAAGTCTTTGGGGTGACTGAACTTCCCACAAGGCTTTTCTGGGGAGGAGCTTCCTTCTACCTGAGTGCTTTAAAGACCTTATTAACACTGTGAGACTCATCTCTGTCTGTCACAGCTGAGCAAAACCAGGTCCTTCCTCCATAAACATGTCATTATGACCAGAAGACTCCAACTGTACTCTGGGCTTGTCTCCTGCCTAGTTAATTACATAATACATTCCACCAACTACAGTGTGAGGCAGATTCCCTCCACTGCAGCCAATCCACATGGGAAGAAAGTCACAAAAGGTCTGGGTTTAGGCAGTGTCCATGCTTCCTAGTAGCTAGACATACAGTGGGTGTTAATAAAACAGGGGAATTTGGCCACCAAATGTTAAATGTCCACAAAATATTACTAACATTCTTTCTATTTGTTTGGTGATTAGTGAACTCCAGTCTTCCTTAGCAAGAAGCTAAGCACACTCTTACTTTGACCAATAGCTTCAAGCTCCCAGTTTCTCCAAAATCAACTAAAAGCGGCAGCTTGGTGCTTAGTTTTGACCTAACCAGTAGGGGTCGGGGGCAGAAAAAAAACAACCCAAGAAAGAGCCACAGAAAAACATTAGGCAGAAACATGAATATAGCAAGTAGAAATGTGGATATAGCAAATACCTCCTTGACGCTGTCAAAGCCAGAGTTTCCTTTCAAATAACACCTAGTAATGGTTACTGTGGACGAGGTCTAAAATGTTGATATTTCAGTAGAAAACAACGCAATGAAAAGGCGAACTAGAAGAACGACCACTCTGGAGCTGACGATGGGACACATGAAGAACACTCTCCTATTTGGAGCAGCTGCTCACGCTTAGCAAGGGAGACTGTGTGGGCACAGTGTGGAGTTTTCCACGGTGAAGGTACACGGAGCAAGCCACTCACTTGTCACATCCGTCTTAATCCCCGCAAGTTTCAGCAGAGGCTCCACCTTCTCATAGTAGACTTGGACAGACTCCTTCCTGTGACTCTGAGGGTTGAGGAGGATCTTTAGAGCCTTAGGCCTGCTTGGGAAACCTACCATGAAAATGAGTATAAGGTTAGATTGTCCGTCAGAGTATCACACATGTATCTAAATAGGATTTGCTATTTGTATTTTAGATTCTTGCTTGAGTGTGGATTTTCTTTTAACCATCTGCTCTCCTAGAGGCGAAACACGATGCTTTCACTTTTCAGACGAGTCATGCATTATAACCAGCACGTTATTTGGAAAGTGGGGTATAAATAATAGCAACTTGTAAACGTGGAAGCGAGAGTGACGCACTCACAGAGGAGGCTCTTCTTTGTGGAGACAGGCTGTGAACCAGGACAAACAGGTACATTCTCTTCTCCTTAGATAGAAATTTACACTGCAACTGGGCACCTAACGACCTCAAGTCTGCTGGCATCTGGCCTGCCCAGTGACTCCGGGGACAGAGTGAGCAGGCAGGGGCCAGTCACTGCTATTCTCTGCTGGTGACTGAAAGGTAAGGTCAGAGTTCAAGTCCCAGAAGGTGGCAGGGGAGAAGGTGCTTTTCTCCTGGGGACTAGGAAGGCATCCCCTCTCAGAGCCCAGTGGTGACGGGCTGCCTCACAGTTGGGACTGAGATTTGATACTGCAATTTTCTGGGCAGGAAGCTTGGCACTGAGAACCCACTTGGAGCAGGTGCAAAGCCAATTGTCTGCTGTTAGGAAGGGGCAGGAGCCAAAAGAAAGCTGACAACCATTTCTTTCATGGTAAGCTGTACTCAGAAGACAGCAGTTTAAGGCTATAAAAGCAGTTAACATTATTTTTTTTAAAATAAAGCCATCACTAAAGATAAATGGAAGAAAATGCCCATTTATAAAGAACTCTGTGTTGCATGCTTCACATGTTCACTTAAGGAGAATGTTTCCCAGTCTTGTGATATTTAACGTAATGAACATCTTTTACCAGCACACACTGAATTCAGGGGAATAAGGAATGGACAGAGCCATGCTAAAGTCTTTGGACACTCCCAATAAACCTTTGGGGGGGGTCTCTGTTTTGATAAGGAGCCCCGTGGCTGTCAAGATCACACAGGCTGAGACCCCATCCATTCTGAATGCCTTGCTTTTTCCAGTTCTTGTGTTTCAGTGAGCTCCAAGAATCCTAGCTCCCAGGCCTCCTGCATCTCTCATCATCAAGCCCTCCGGTATAAGGTTCTGGCACCCGTGCCCTGGGTGCCCCCAGCCTGCTGCTCCCTGGTTTCCATAGTTCCCACAGAGCAGCTCCTCCAGTGTTCCAAGGTTCCAAAGTAACCCTGGAACTGTCTGCTGGGGGCACTGCCCAGACCCCTTAAAATGGTCTCCAGTGGTGGCCAATCCCATCCTAACCCATCTCCTCTCTTCTCACAATCAACACTCACGAAAGACACATCAAACTTTTGTGTTCAATCCTGGGAAGAAGGGGCAGAGAAGACGCAGCTGTTGCTTCAAAGGAGACAGCAGGACCAGTGGTCCCCAACCTTCCTGACGCTCCGACCCTTTAGTACAGTTCCTCATGTTGTAGTGATCCCCAACCATAGAAGTATTTTGCTGCTACTTCATAACTGTAATTTTGCTATTATTATGAATCATAATGTAAATATTTGACATCCTGGATGATCTTAGGTGATTCCTCTGAAAGAGATCAAGGAATCAAGATCTCTTGTGTTGAGAACCACTGGTCTGAGACTCTCAGCAGAGGCCTGAAACACAATGGAACTATATATGGGGCAGTATTGCTTCTTAGGGCTTTGGAAACGCCCCTTTGACACAGGAGTATCTGAGCAGAACATTTTCCTCTACCTAGGAATGCCTTTCCCCGTTACTCTCTGACTCATTACCAATCTGCCCAGGCTAGAGATTCTACGTGATCCCAGCCTAACTCAACACAGAGCTGTGCTAATATAGCAAATGCTCTTCTGGGGCTGGGTCAGCTCCTTATGACTCCATCCATTTACCCCAGCAGATGCCAAAGCTGGGCCTTCTCCACTCAGGTGCTTTTGTTTCGGTTTCAGACATTTCAAAAATCAAAATTCTATCATCTGTTTTCTCAAGACTGACTCCAAACCCCACATCCTCCCAGGAGCCTTTCTTGGCTAACCCCAGAATGCATCCCTTCCGCCGCTCTGCGCCCAATTACTCCAGGCTCGTGTGTTACCTAGTTCTTGTACCACTTATACAAATCTCTGACAAAACATCTTGGGACTCCCACTAACCAACCACAGTTCAGTTAAAACTGTGAGCCGTGATAGTAATACACTACACTGTGGCGGGTTTCTCAAGCATTCCACTTGACAGGCTACACGGACACTAGGCAAACGATGAAAAGGGAAATTTTGTCTTAGAACAATAATAGATATGGGAGGCATTCCAAAGTTAGAAAAATCTTAATTCTATGCCAGGCCTCCTTAGCCTTATTCCCAGGGAAAGGTGAGTGCACTATTTGCCCATTCCGCAGCCCCACAACTCAGGACAATCAGAGCCACACAATCAGACACAAGGAAGTCAAGTTAAAAGCAGGAACTCAGTTTATTACTGTGAGCGTCAGTTTATAAAGATTAAGTGACATCATGTGATTTGGGTACCTCCGGTCAATAAGAGACAGTCAAGCCCTCCCTCTGGTTGGAGGGGCATCTACCTAGATTTTGCTGTCTCATCCCTGCCTGGTAGCTTTGAGACTATCCTTCAAACTCCAGGCAGGCTTTTCCCTGTCCTACAGACTTTGAGGTGCAGGCCCTGAGATAATTTTGGCCCAACAATTCTAGACATTAGAAAAATTGATTTAGACAAGAAGTCATGGGTGCCAGAATCATCTGGTAACAATTGGGAAGGCTACTTATGTATTTCTAAACTCTGTCCCATTACAGGACACTGAAGCGGCTGTAGACGCATGCCTGCCATGGGAGACTCCAGGTCCAGGGAGAATTCTGTTGCTGTCTCTTAACCAGGGCCTGAGCAGGAAGACTCCTGGTTTGCTCTCCTTAAACCACGACAGAGCCAGGAGCTAGCTTTAAATTCCAGGCACTGAGAATCAGAAGGAACACCCTGCTCCCTCAACTTTAAGTGGAACATAAACCCAAAGGTCCTCTTTCCTTTTACGGACATTCCACACACAGTTGGTATTGTAAAACCGGACTTTAATTTCCCCCATTTTCCCGTGATCCTGATTTCCTCACCAACACCTCCACACCTACTGTGTACCAAAGAGAAGCAGGGGCTCTGAAACTTCGTTCCTGAATCCCCTGTACTGACAAAGGTGACATCCTAAGGGCGGGGCACAAACAAACAAACGAACTCAGGCTGGGCTAAAAGGTATCTGTGCTAAGGACAAAACTGTAGCCTAGGCAAGAGAGAGGGTAGAGGTGAAGGGGGCTCCCTGGAAGGGAGAGTCAAGTCCCCCAGAGCCTTGCAGGTCTTTCCAGCGACTTCGTTTTTTGTTGCTTAGAAAAAGATGTGTGGTCAATTGTAAGGAAATTGGTACTACAACCATGTTCACTCTGGTCTCTGTATAGAAGGTGAACACAGTATGACTATGGGAAAACAAAGCCAGCACAGCTAGTTAACACTTAGAGGGGAAGACTATTGTTCTTGGAGGGGAATGGGTACAACCAATGTTAAAACAAAAATGAGATTTTACATGCATTTTTAAGTAGAACTAACCAGAAATATGATCTTTAGACATGGCCCCTGAAATAAAAGGTCCTGTCACGTCTAAGGTGGGGAGACATGGGGCAAACAGCTGCAGCATGTGTAAGAAGTAGCGGCAGCATGGGGGGCATCTTCTCAGTGGGTTGATGGGCTTTCGGAGAGACACGATCAGGCGGGTTAAGAAGACCAAGGAGACAGGCTGCAGGGAGGGGGCTTGAAATTGAGAGTGAGACCACTAAGGGTGGTAGAGATGGGAAGCTAAGAACTTAAACAAGCTCCATGTGATGCTAATGGTCTCTGGGCCACATTGTGACCGTGTCCATGGTGATGTATGAATATAAATATGTACACAGTACTGCTGCTCAAGTCTATAATCCCAACAGTCAAGAGGCAAGGGCAAGAGGGTCGTTGTGAGTTCAGGGCCCATGTGAACTTCATAAAGAGGTTTGGTCAGCTGACTGTATGGTGAGACTCTATCCAAAAGGACAGCAATCACAGCAAATGACTATGGGAGAGTGTGAATGAAGGGGGACACTGGCGAGTTTTGAAGGAGTGGGCGCTGAGCCAGAGAGCAGGGTGAAAACATCAAATACCCGCAGCAGAGTAGAGCGGCAAAGTATAACAATAGCTTTGGTCTTTAAGAGGAAAAAAAAAAGAAAAGAATGACCCAGGCAATTGTACAGGACGCCTTGCAGCAAGCAGTGCTACCTGGAGGCCCGATGGGTTGGTGTCAGCGCTGAGTGCTTTTAGAGGCGGAAGGAGAGAGGAGGAGGAGGATCCTAGCTAGCAGCATCTTCTAGGAGGACCGGTTCAGAGAGGCGGTCATCCCGTGAGAGGACTGCAGGGGGAGCTGTAGGCCCTCGGGAGAGCCGGGTCACTCACTCCTACAGCAAGAATGAATCCAAATACTCATGTGTGGGGTGTGATAAGTAGGTGAAAACATAGACTTTGCTAATGGTACCATTCATCCCAGAGGACAGGGTGGAGGGGTCTCAAGTTGATGAAGGCAAGGAGCAGTGCTGGGCTAGTCCTGCAGGGCCCTAGGGGATGGTGTGGGTAATAAGGACTCTCCTGTGGCCGTGGGGTAGGAATAGCACCGTGTCCAGGGGGCTGGAAGGTCTGGTCCTAAGCAGTAGGGCTCTAAGAACCTTTCTCTTCAGTCACAGACAAAACTAACGGAGGAGCAACGTTGAGTAAGGCTAAAGACCTCCACAGGCAGCTCAGCTGCTGCACCGTCCAAACCTGAAGCCAGACTCCTGTGAGGCCTTAGGACTAAGCTTTCCTTTGCCCGGAATGACCTCAAGGAGATGGGTATTTGGGATCAGACCGTTTGTAGACAAGCAAAAGCACAAACAAGGGACGGAGTTCAAAAATCTCCTTAATCT